ACTCTACCAGATAACCACCCGGTTCACAAAGTAATGGGCCAAGTAAAAGAAATATAGTATCTATACCCGCAGGGGGGGCTGCTTTTTCCTAGTTAAAATATTATAAATCATGAACCTGGGGCGCTTGCAAGCCTTAGAGATAATTAATCCTAAACTATATACGCCATGGCGGAACCAGTCTATTACGGAAATCATAATCAAACCTGATCAGGAGAACACGCAGGCTAAAATACAGGTATAATAATTTTTAACTAATATTATAATCTTCTCTGATGCTTCAGAAAAAGAGAATAAATTAAAGACCGCAGTATTAGCTCTTACTTATAACCAGCAGATAACAGGATCTCAACTGATTAGTATCAGTTTAATGGAATACTAGTCAGTCTATGCAGTTGAGCTCATGGTAATCTTTTACGCCATCAGCCTGGTTCTTCAAGTAGGCCAGTAAAGGCAAGGCTGTTTAGATAAAGTAAAATAATCTATAATTATTTTAAGCAACAGCATGTCAGTATTACAAGTAATTCATAACCTGTCTAACAAGTCCGGCCGGTGAATTATTTGAGTTATCCTGCAGACAGCCTCTGAAATGAAAGTGTGAGGGATTCTTATTCACCTTTAATAGATATCCAGGCATTGTAATGATCCTGGAAATAATAAAGCCAACCGACTGGTAAAGGAAGTAGTTAGTTTAAAGAAAATATATCTCTTTCAGCCCCTTCTCTCGCGAGAAATTGACTTCATCCGGAAGAGAATACTAAATGAGTGGAAGGATAAGTAGACTAAATTTATAAAGAAAAGATATTTCTGCCAGATTATAGAACCCTGCTGGTAATCTGTATCTAATAACTGTATGGATTACTTCCTTGGAATTGAGCATATCTGCTTGTATAACTTCAGATGGGTCACTCTTGGCTGGCAACATACCGGAAATAACACAGTTTTTAGGTTGATGACAGGTGTGTCTGTGGAGCTTGCAAGACGGTAGTCCATGTACTGGTGGACTGGCCAAAATTCAGATACCAGTAATAACAACTGCGGAGGAAGATTGGACCTGCATTTAGCAGTATCTTAAATATGCTAGGAGGGCAACAAGGTAAGGAAGATAAGGCATAAGATACTGCAAATAACCACAGCAATCTCGGGGCTGTACTGGACTTTGCAGAAGCGTCGCAGAGGTTTCGGAGCCGTGTGCAGAACAGAACACCGGGCAACTGGGCCAATATAGGCCTTGACCAGGCTCCAAATCCGTCAGAAAAGTAATAGTCTAATGTATATAAGGAATATATCAGGAAAGGTAGATAAGAAGATCCTGCATATTACTTTTATTTATAAGAAATCAGACTATAAAAAACATATTCACACACACACACACAGACAGTATCAATACTAAATATATTTTTATATATTCTAGTTCTGACTTTCCTCCTTTCCCTAGGTTCATGGACCTTTCTACCACGGAGAATTCTTATATTCTGTATATGAAGTTAATATAAATAATATATACAGTAGAGTAGCATGTCTTCATTCTTTCTTTCTATATTTTATGCAAGATTTTCTGGGCCATTTTTTTAGTAACTTTAATAAAAAAAATAAGTTTTATTTATTTAAAAAGACTTCTTGAATATAGGCCTCAATACTCTGTTCAACGCGCTAGCAACACCAAGGTCGGGTGGATGTCATGGAACTCATGATATTTATTAAATCTGATTGGTGCTTATCCGAGCGGTCCCTAGTTATAAACCCAATATTTGGCCGAGCGGTATATTTAAACATATAAAATGTAGCGAAGGGTGCCAATCATTTAATTATTATTATGATTATTTAAGAAGGCATATTGATATTACTTTTTTCTAAAATAATTTCTCAAGATAAACCTGATTATTTATTAATATCTGATTATTAGCCCTGTTTTTCTCTTATATGAAGTTCTTGCTATAATCTGTAGAGAGCTAGTTACGCAAAGAGACTATAAAACTTGATATAGTTATATTAAAGCAGGTAGTTCTTTTAAATCTACTATTTTTTAATATATCAGCTTTACTGATTTCGAGGATTTTATCTTCACTGTATAAAATCCCAGCCAGGAAATTGCTTTTAAATTATTTGATATCTTATAGAAATGGCATAACCAAAGCAATAGAAACAATATCCTAGGTAATTAATTTTGTAGTACAGCAAAAAGATAGCTCATACTTGCTGTAAAATATAAATTCAGATGACTCAGCAAAGCGATAGTCCAGATTCATGGCATGAAAATATTATTAATCAAGGAAGCCATGGTCAAAGCAGCTGTTATTAACTGGAATAATTTTTTCTGTAAATAGCTTCTACATAAGGAAAGCTGTCTTTTCTATAAGAGAGATTATTATCTATTTGCGCAATATCTTGTCCAGTTGCTACGAGACAATCTGTTCTTGAAAATGTTCTATATCATAAAGATTTCAAAAGTTATTCAGGTTAATTCCGCACTGTTAAGTCAATACTGCCGCATGTTAGTAGTTAACGATATCATCAGGCAGATACAGGAAATAAGAATTAATAATAAAAATACTAATATTATATTATTTGGAAGAGCTTTTATAGATATAAAAATTATTTTTTCTTTATAATAAATATACTAATAATACTTTATTAGCAACTTTGAGCCGGCTTTAAAGATCTGCAGTGTATGAACTAAAAAAGATCTTGAAAATCTTAAAGTATTATCTTTCATAGTAAAAGAGCAGGCCAGGGCCGCTACCCATAAGAATACTATATTACAAGCACAGGTTTCCAGAAAGAACTTAATAATATTGAATTTTACATGATTTCAAACAGCCACCACAAAAGCCTTGTCAAACGATATAGAAAGATATCTATGCTTCCAGCAAAACATATCCAACAGCTGTATAAAGATTATCGTAGGAAGAATTGAGTGTGTTGGTTTAATTCTAGATTAAGTATAGAAGATTAACTGAATATCATTACTAGATTAATATCACACAGATAAACTAGCATGTATATATATAAATAAGAAAACCGACACGTTCAAATATCTTATCAGAGTCACTATCAGGAAGAACAAAATCAAGTAATATAGTTAATACTGTATAATAACAGACTGTCTTTAATCTAAATAAATCATGTTTGGGAACAGCTTTACCACTAGGAAGAACAAAATCTAGTTATAAAACTGGAGAAAGAAAGCTAGAATAAGAAATAATAACAGTAAATATTTTAATAAACTCAAGTCTGGAATGACTGGCAGACAATCACTAATTATTATTTAAGGCAAAGAGAATGGAATACTGAGAATATCTCTGGGTTTATATTTCTATAATCAGAATATAAGTGTTGGCGAATAGTCTTTCTTCTAATATTTCTGCTGATAATAATAGTATTATTGCAATACACCCGGTCTGCCTCACAGTCAAGTGTGTTCAAGCAGGAATAATAGATTAAAAAATCCCGTGTATAATTAGTATAGATTACTATAGGATTCTTGTTCACCTCCTCTCTTTCCTGTTTCTGATACTGGTGACTTATATAGATATATGGGGAATTTTCGCGTACGGCCCTAATAGCGCAGGCTAGTGAGAAGACGAGACTTACCAAGAGCAGAAAATAAGCAAGTAGTACTGAGTTTCATGGTATTCTAAAGAAAACTGTTTGCAAATGGCTAGGAATCATGGGAAGTAAGGGAGACTGACTTTAGATAACAGATAGATTAATAAGATGTGTTGTATATTTCTGAGACTCATCCAGAGTATAATAAGAGAGTATAGATTAAAAGAGCAGTTTCTTTATCTGTCTATCAAGCCATGATACTATGTATATAATAAAGTAACATCTAATAAAGAGATTCTCTGAACACACTGATATCTATATGGAGAGATATCATGAAGTATATAATTATTAATCAAGAGTATTGTCCTGACACTGGAAATCAATCAGTAAATATAATAGCATAGAAAATCAAGTCAATACTCACTGCCTGCTAATATATTTTGTTATCCTGTAGTAATTCCTGATAACTTTTCTGTTCTATGACCTGAACCCATATCTACTCGGGCTTACACCAAAGGCAAATACCATTTTAACTTTTAATATAATAGACAGTTTATATATAACTGCTATAGTTATTATATATTCTCTTACTACTAAGTACCTGGGTACCGCCTGTACTATCTATTAGGACTAGAATAAAGATTTAATATTACTTCACTAAGTAGAGGAATGGTCTGCGTAGTAATGTTTATATAATACAGGGGCATTATTAGTCTTCTACTCAGAAATATTAGAGTCTTGATACCCAAATCAGGACTTAAGTTGACAGGGGGTAGATGATGGGCATATTTAGAAAATAATTCTGAGAGCCATGCAGCATATGCGCCTGTGATAATTCTCAGAGAAAACAGTACAGCAGTAGTAACGCTGGCCAGTATTATTATAAGTCAAGGTCTGTCTATAATAAGATAATATCTTGCTGAGTCTAGGACTTTTAGTCATGGAGAGTGTCTTTTAATTTCCTAGTCTGTAATAATAAAAAAAGACAGGTATTTATAGTTTATTCTTAATAAATATTTTTGTTTCTGAGAGATCTTTTAGAAGATCTCTAATAGAAATAATATCAGATATGTACTATAGTATTTATTATATTTATGTAGCAACAGTCTAGAAAGCGGGCATATCCTTAGATATACTATATAGAGACAGATATTTATTTAAGTAAAGACTTGTTAGTAAAAATCCTGCGGGTTTTATCTGATTACCGCATAATGTCTTTATTTATGATCTATTAATTAAGCTACTTGACTAGCTACTATTATATATTAGATAGTTTCTTCTTACTATCTATAAATAATGGCTTTGGGGTTTGCTGCTCCTTTTTAGACTCACAATTAATATTAATAATTGAGCTAATATGTTGTATTTATTTTCTTTTTATATAGTAGTATAAGTAGTACTCTGGTCACCTAATCTATGATTCATGATTTTAGTGGCATTTGCGTTTTTCAGATATGCAGTTAACTATAGTGATGATCATGCTGGGTGCTATATCTTTAGCCAGAGCTAATATGGATGCGATGAATAATTCCCTCGTGAGTTTATTATGTTTATTAGATTCCATTGGTTTCAGATGCTTGTGATCCTGTTCTTACCTGCTGGTGCGCAGAATATGTACGGACCAATACATCTTGAAGCCTGGGCGGAACCCAATTGCCAAGGTGGTGACACGGCTATTACGTTTACCGACAATTTTTATGGACGAAATTTATCAATCGCTTTGGTATTCCGAGAGCGCAGTGCTTCTGCGCTCTCGGAATACCACAAGGCCTGCGCTAGTTGCCGCAGGGTTGGGGAATACATTACTCGACTACTGTACCAAGGAAGGAGGATAGCACCGCAGTGGGATATCCCGATCAAGGCATATCGAGAGGAGCCATCGATGGGTCTGGGTACGTTGGATTACCTGCTGGTTACTGGTTAAACCTTGCCCGTGATAGTCTGCACGATCCAAGAGTCGCGGGAAGCAGCAATGCTTGCTTTGTCTTAGCTGTTCGGTTGGTATATCGTTTGGGATTGGAAATGTCTAATCAGGTCTACTCGGGTGTTGAAGACATGGCTGATGAACAGATGATGAGGCTCAATTGGACATCCGTGCCACCTTGGATTTGAAAAAAAGGGCCATCATGTAGCGCGATATGTCTCAGGGTTCAGGCAGGCCACAAATTCAATTAAATTCTGGACAAGGACAAAAATAGGAGAAGAACGACAGGCTAGCTATGATAAACAACTCTGAAAGAGCAAACAGTCAATGAAGCGACTAGCCTACGGCGCGAAAAAGAAAGGGGGCCAGAGAGAAATACCAAGAAAGTAAAACAAAACAGCTCTGTCTAAAAAGCACAGAAGGCTATACAGCAAGATAAGGAAAATCGAGCAGATCTAGAGACTCCACCTGCTCAGCCCCAGCCTACCGAGATCCTTCCGTAGGAACCACCATGCTGCAGCACTGGCTCCAAAATCGGATGCAGACACGCAAAGTGCTCCAGAAAACTTGGCGTTGAGAGTTATGGGCGTTGTTATGACGTTGCGTGGCATCAAGGCCTCCATTCCCACCCTATCAGGTAACCCTGAAGGGGGCGGGGAGACGGGCAGCGCGACTGTGGTAACTGCATGGGGTAGTGTGGTATTGGGGAAAATAAAGGTCTCACGCAATGCACCCTTCCCACAGGACTAATCTGAAAATGGGTTTGAGAAGATAAATGGTAATAGACTGGTCACGAACTTGTTGCGTCGCAAGGCAGTGCTAACTGCGATTCAGCTTCCATGTCACACAAGGATATGCCGATCACCCTGTGACGGAATAGCCTAAACACATGCTGGAGCTTCGATGGGCACGGAGTACAGCATTGGTTGAGGATATTCAGCAGGGGGAGGGGCGGGGACAGACACCTCGCGTCTCACTCGCGGACGTGGAGACCCACTTCACCCAACCCAGAGAAGTATCTCTGGTCAACGTCAACTGCACAGCTGATTTGTCCAACCGCCAACGCCGCAGACGGTCGGATGTGGTCTAGTGTGGAAGTTCCTTTTCACAACTGATCCCTTTCTCTCGGGATCAACAGAGCAGATTGCTCTCACTCTCCAGCAGCTGGTACATTAGCGCGGTACAAAACAGTTTCCGGGCAATGTAATGCAGGACTGTCCCATTGCTATCCTCCCCGCTTGGGATGACCGATGTTCCACTATATTCTCGAAGAACAGATCTGACCGACGGGCTTTGTTGTGAGGGTCGAAAACCTCTACTGCGATGCAGCTCACTCTTTGTGCAGGCACATATTCTTTTTTCTTGACTCCTCACGTGTTCTTCCAGCTTATCATAGCTCTCCGTCAGCTCAAAATTTCGTATGGCATTGCACGGTAGCGTTTTATAGATAGAATTTACCCAACTTTAGTCTCAAGCCTGGATAATACGGCTCAGCACCTCTCTAAGGGCAATGGCAGCTGTGTTTGGAATGTTATGGGACGGGACTTATTCGCTGGTCAATGGCCTGGGACTGCTTTCACACGAGCTCCAAATGGGCGCTAACGTCGAGACCATGGTTCCAAGCATGGACCGACCAGGAGCTGAGTGCGACCTTGACGGTCCTGTGGCAGTATAAAGTAATCGACCTTGAAAGTTGTCGAACTAAGTGCGATCAGTTTAAGTAGCCTGTACGCGGCCCGTAACTATTGGGGCTGAAATCCCTGGCTTGCGTTTCCCAGCTATCAGAAGACGGAAAATTCGGCGATGGATACGATAAAGGAACCCTTGTTGCAAGCAGGTGAAACAGTAAAATGATACAGGCTACCTAGAATCTGACCCTCACCCTCTTACGGCATCCTAAAGAAGAGCCCAGTGATACCCGTGCTGGAACCCGCAAGAGATGTTTTCAACCGAATACATTGGATTCAGAATAGTTCTGATATTGATTGGTTTGTTCCGACTCTCAACTGGCGTAGAGCATTAAACTCACGCTCGTCTCTTGGCCTTATGTTCATCCGAAAACATTGATTTGCGTGATCGAAGTAAAGACATTCACTTCCCGGATCTGCGGGCGGCATTGTTTGAGGTCGCCGCAGGTGTACTCCACGTGCGGAAAGAGAGGGGAGACGGCGACTCAGCCAGAGGTGTAATTATGGATGACCGTAAAATGCATTCCTTATCAACCGGTGGGGCCTGAGAGCATGATAGAGGCATACGTGGAGCTGTCTTCGGATTGCATAAGGGGAAATAGGATGCCGGGCCGGTTCCAGGTCTGGAACTCGGGAATCCCATATAAAGAAGGTAATAGTGAACCGCGAGAGTTCTTCTCGGGGTAATGTCTCGTCGCTGCGCTGCAGGTTAGTCATTCTCATGTCAGACAAGTCCTTGTCTTTGAATTGCGTTACCGATCCCCGGAGCAAGCAGGTGGGCAAATTGAAGACCTCTAACAATCGGCTAGAGATTGCCCTTGAGCAAAAATTATGCTGTGGTCCTCTCCGGTTTCCCTTCGCGAGGAAATTCCAGGTCGACCTCCTGCCGATATAGCAACAATCTTAGTCATTCTGGTCGACAGCACTGTATTCCGTATACGTCCAAGTGATGTCAAGCTTCTGGCCCTGTTCGATGCTGTCAAAGGCACAATCATTAATGCAAGGGACCTTGGTTGATTGAGAGGGTGCTGGCCCGTCAGGGTCATGTTGGTTCCGGACCGTGCCTTCAACTAAAGGCCAGTTCTGCTCATTGCGGCAATATGAACTGGCTGCATGGAGTCTGGTTAGCAATTAGACCCCAAATAAGGAAAACATCAAAATTTCTGTAGTTCTGTTGACATTTGACCGCTCTGGGCGAGGAACTAGCCCAGGGAATTTTGACCCGCAGCAAAGCAGGTTGTCGCAGACCTTAACCATTACTGTGTTTCACGTTGTCTTGCAACGAACGTGCACGGTTCTTCTTAGGTTTCTGAAGGATCACGCCGCTCGGAAAGCGGTTGTATCAATTGATGCTGCCCATTCAACAGTTTTTGCTTGTGTGGTTCGGTTATTCCCAAGTAGTCTCCGCTGAACTACTCAGACGTCCTAAGCTTCGTCTGTTATGTACCTGTGTGTGTACGCCCATTGGCCAGCCGCACGGTCCCACGGCTCGCGCGCACCATGCCTCTCCCTATGCCCACGCATATGGTTCCGTCCCAGTCAGCCCATTTCTGATTGACGGCCTCAAATTAACGAGCATGTGCCTGGACATGCTGGGTCAATCCGGAAAGGAGATGGGGAATTTGCCCTTCTTATAACGGTCATCATGTGCACCTGAGCATTTTGTTGGACAAATCGCACTCAAGGATGGCTGGATACAGTACCGTGCGCGGCACTTGATGACATTTCAAACTTTCTCGATAGGAGATCTCTCAACCATGAGGTAACCAAACGTTCTAGATAGACGAAACGGGTATTCGCGTGACCGGTAGGTCTGAAGTGGGCATTGGTAAGACACGAGATTCCCCACCGGTGGTCGCTGGTGCTTAGAGGTCAATTTGTGACACAGAATGCCCGATCAGGTCGGGAGATTCTCAGTGCACGTTAAAACTTGAATCTCCAGTTCTTCTTTTTATCTAACCAGCAGCATAGTTCAATTCCACATGAAAGAGGTTTCGACCAAGCTGGACGCGATTTTGCGCTTTTCAATTCATGTCTGTGGCTGATTAAGCTGTCTGATCGAGGTGTGAAATAGGACCTGGTAGGGGAGCTGGATGACCTGCGTACCAGGAGTAGGACAATGTGGCGGATGAGGAAAAGGGTGAAGGGAAAGAGTAAGGATAAGTCAAAAGACGGTGGTAATATGGGAAGAATGAGGGGGCGTTCACCGAGGAGACGTGGTCAAGTTGCCATACCGTATTCTCCAAGAGCAATTACGTGCCTTGACAATCTGTAGGGCCTCTGTTCAGTATTTGTCCAGGCGGGCATGTATTTTCGCCAGTCTCCGGTCTGTCTTGGTCAAGTCGTTGTTCCCTTGGGCTACTAACATTAACGTAATAAACGACCGCGCGGCCTATCCCGTACATAATACCATGTACAAGCTGCTCTTTTGATAGTCGTTATATCTTAATGGCAACAAGCCCTTAAAGGCTCTTCTCAGCATATAGCTTTAGCTTTGCCCTTTGACTAGCTTATCAGTTATTCTCGCTAGGTTTTTCCACAACTAGTTGTATATATACTGTCTATTATAGAAGTACACGTAATCTATTTAGCGACTTCGTGATGTAAATAATCGGGGAAGTCATATAAGAAAAGCATTATTAGATACCACTATGATATGTACGTTTAAACTAAGCTTTGTAGACTTTATATGGCTGAAATAACCGAAACAGAATGTTGTAATAAGACTTCTTGGTCTATGATGATTTGGGACGGTTTGCCCGCCCGTGAGAGCCACGCGCTTGTTGATTAGGTTGTGCTCGGGAAGGCCCGGAACTTCAGGCGTTCAACTTGACTTCCCCCAAGAAATCCGCACGCGCACCTAACGGATATTACGTCCTCAAGTTCCGACATCTGGCTTGGTACGTAAGTAAACGAGCTCAGCACGCGAGTATAGTGACGTCTGTATCTTCGGTAAATTTAGATAGATAGGAAAGCGAACGATGCTCAGAGAAAAAGGTTGTGCGTGGCCATAATCTTCATGCATGTAGGGTCAATAGTATTATATATATCGCCCATACCATATAAAAAATATTGGGCAGAAGTGGGTTTTTACTATTCCACAAGACATATACAAAGCAATGATGCGCTGACCTTGAGCATTACCAGGCAGCTTTATGAGGTAAATTCACACCGGGTACTAAGGTAGAAAACGGGGCAATTGGTCACAGCATAAAGAGTTGGACGAGCAAAAGCGCAGCCACGGCGGTATGTCGTCCCCACCCTGAAGAACCCTCGCGGAGAGTTCTACCAGCGTGTCTCTGTCACGGCTTGTGCCTACTGCCTCGTGCGACCGGAGACACGGTATGCTAACCGCCATAGCCGATTGATCTCGTCAGATGTAGTTGATGCACGAGGCGATGCTCTATGTTGACTTCCGTTTCCTGCTGCTAAGAAGGTTGTGAATATCAGAAGGCTTCGATCACGGCACGGGGGTCATGCTCTTACCGGGGGAATTACCCCAGCCTTCAACAAGCCCACTCATCAAACGCATGTGGCTCCCACGTTTGGCTGAGAACTGGGAGGTCAATATTAGAGCCTGGGTCGACAGTACGGTCTGATTCTGGTTCTGGTGACTGGCCACGCGTGTAGGGGTCCGTTGCCTCATCGCCAGCATCGCTACCACGCTCGGGTCGTCTAAACGATGCTCGGAAGGGGTGGGGGTGCTGATCGAGATAGAACTGGGCCAAGCCTTCCGCTGGCTATGATCCTGTCTCTGGGGGATGCGACGTCTGAGCCGCGATGGGGTTTTGCAATTTGGAGGGCGGTGCCGTCGGATGTCCTTCTCCAGCAATCGATATTTAGTCCGCAAAGACTCTCTCGTTCTGGGTTTGCGTTCAACGGAATATTTTCTTGCCCTCTCCGGCCATGTTAAATGGAGGTGACGAGCTACCCATGATGGGTAGTCATGTTCCTCGCCGGGAGTCCAGGCACGGTAGTGTCTCTTGGGCATGGGGAGCAAGAGAAAAATGACAAACGTGGTCTAAGTTGGAAAACAGCGCTGGTAAAGACAGGCAAAATGTGAAAGGTCGAGGTAGGCGTATTGCCCGCTGCGCGGAAGATGTACAGCTTACAAGAAAGAGGAGGGACACCGTGATCTACTGGATGTGGAGGGTCTTTTGTCCTAGCGATGTTTCCTGGTGAATGAACATTGCCCCATCCATGCAACAATTCCCATTAACTTATCTAAGTAGCTCACCGTTTGACTTGCCCTGCGACCCAGGGTTGTCAAAGTTTCTCATGCCAATACAGTACCACTTTGTGCGATGGTGTCAACGATGGCAGAGAGCCTCGAACCACGGGCCAGGTGGGCCAGTTTCAGAGAACAGACTAAACACGCTGTGATATATAGATCAGGCCGAATAAGGTTAACCCTAGACATTTGACCGCTCTGGCCAGGGAAATATCCCATGGTGCTCGGGTCCGCTGCAAAACACGATGTTGCAGATCTTAACCATTAGTGTGTCACTCGTTCGATTATGGTGACACAGGATCATGTAGGCGGATAATGCCAACCGACAGTTGTCACTAAGTTTCTTTGACTAAGATGATTGCTGAGGGACCCCGCCATCACCAATGGTGCGCTTTACTTCTGTCCAGCCAGGCCTCTTGCTGGCTGTGGCTCCGACCAATTCTCCCTTCAGCACGGCACTCTACGGCACACTTGTACCATTCCACACTTCTCTTCTGTTAGCTCCGGTACCATTCATAAATGCCAAAAGTCACAACCAGGCCGCGGGCGAGCATTCGCGCAACCACCCGGACGACCAAGAGTTAAAGTGGTGTTTCTGACGCAGGATCTATCCAGAGAGAGGAGCCCGTCGCACAGCCTCTCCAGCAGCCTCCGCGCTCCCTAAAACTTCCATCCATGGTAAGCCTCCACACACGGTTGCCGGAGCCTGGTTGTCTTGCTGACTTCACTCGCCCACCAGCCGGCACAGATATCCGGTTCTGGTTTTCGGGACGCTCAATCTGCCACATCATTGGAGAACCACGAGGCCTGTTTGGCCACGGTCGAAACACTGGAGCGGGAAAATGAAGCATTTAGGAGGGACAAGAACACCCTGTCGGAGCGCCTCGAAAGCGCCGAAAGTGCGATGCAGGAATTGTTGAACAACCAGCGTCGGTGCAGACAAGAGTTCTCTGAGCGGCAGGCGACTCAACATCTGGTGGATGAAATGCAGCATACCGTTGCAGGTTGGCACCAGCGGCTTCAGACCCCGGTTGGTTTACCAGAACGTGTGGATCTAGCTGCCTGGACTACTGCCCTACCGGCAACGACAGCGGTACCGGACATGTGGCCTACTCAGGAGGATGAAGGGGGTGCATTTGGCGATGACCATGATATGGTACCCGACTCTGGTAACTTCGCGCAGCTTTTCCAGTTGTAGTTGCTCTGCCATAGTAATGGATTATGTTCTGAGATGTACACAAGTATACCGATCGACAACTATATTACAGACTGTGTCACGCAGTGCACATCTGTTTCTCTAAAGCTGGCTAAGGGAACTTTTGACACGGAGAATTGCCTCTGCGTTGGCAGAAGGACAGGGTGATGCTGGATCGAGAGTGGCACTCTCGAACCTCGCATAGATGAGCGATTGGTTGTGAGATTCTCGACAGAGCCATTCCGTTGTCGGCAATCTGGAGGAAGGAAATAGCGATTGATGCAGCGTCCAGCATCTACCGTCATGAACCTATGATCTCTTCGGTTTTTCCTCTCGTCATCCCGCGCAAGGAGAGAGACCAACCGAATCTCTTGCAAGAAATGACCTATCGGGGATCAGTTTGATCAACCATCAGATTGCGCTGGCTCAGGCGTGAACCATGGCCCTGGGAACGGCCTGCGTGCAGCTTCGGAATACCAGAGATAAAATCTGTATTCGAGTGAATCGAGCAATTCACGGGTATGTTAGGCCTATTTCAACATAGCCTTTCTGTACAGAGATCACAGAGCTATTCTCGATTGCTAGCGCATTCATCAGCCTACAAGGTGGCTCTATGAGTGTCTTCGTGGAACACCAATGTTCCCACGTCTCGCGCAGGCTAATAGCGTTGAACAATTGCGTAAAAAGCCCCTACCTATCGACAAAGTGATAAAAGCCGTTCTTTCGGTGGAGCTAGCTCTCCGCTTTACCTACCACAGCTGGGGTCATATCATGATTGAGGCGGCGGCTGACCCCCAGCGAACTCAAATCATCAAGGCGTCGGAGACGCTGATTTACCACGTTTCACAGGAGAAATGCACTCACTAGGCTGCTCTAGCTTTCCCACAGTTCCAGGCCGATGCAACGCTCATACTAATCTCTGTGGCAAATGTAACCTGATCGTTCTACATTCTTGTCCAGCCTGCATTATAGTGTACTACCAAGATTGACAGGCCGATGTCCCTTTCCATTCCAGCGAAGGTCAGTCCTCAGTAGTTGTGGGAGTGGACCACAACCTCTCCAGCCACGAATACCATATCCCGGGTAGCTTTCAGGTGACAGGGTTACGGAACTTGACTGGCTCTGCTGTTAAGGTAAGCCAAAGTCCGGCCTCTACCGAGAAAGCTATTGAGGCACCAGATGGCGAGCATTTCATGGAGATGATTATTGGCTATCCTTGATCATATCTGGACGATCCTTCCACAAAGAAGAGAGTGCTGTAAATTGTAATAGCAAAGCAGCCTGTGATACAATTCAGGGACTGCTCCAGTGATAGTACAAGGAGATCTAGACCACCGGTTTCATTTGTTAAAGTTTGGACTACTATGACTGGCATAAGTTTAGGATGCACGGTAGCTTTCGCTCGATTATGATGGTATGGCGACGCGTTGGCTTTCGGTGCTGTCCCAGTGCTATGGTAGTGAATTCCAGATCATCGCGCCATAGTCCCAACAAGGGTGTTCTTTAGGGGCGGCAAGGCTCCGGCTGCATTCGAAAGATCACTCCGCGATCGTCCAAAGTACTTATGTGCTGGGTCGCTCCAGCTGCTTGTTCTCTTGTCTTTGCCCTTGCGAATAGGAAATTCTTGCCCCAAGCTTCCCTGTACTGACTGCTCGTTGTGGTCTTCTACATCTCTTCTTTATTCAATAAGCCCTAGGGCTCCTAAAGGAATGTCATTCTCCGTGGATATTCATGAATATTTGCGAATATGAATAATATGAATTGAATGATATGAGTATGAATAAGCCGTCTATTCATATTCGCAATATTCATGAATATATGAATAATTCATATTTATTCATATAATAAGATACCATACATAACCATTCATTTCATTACATCCCAATACATCAACTGAGCTCATATACTCTGGTCTATTAAAAAGTACATACGTGACTTTAATCTAAGCCACTGAATTTACATGCATGCACCACCCTAAAATCATGTCTGAGACTGCCCTCTCAGTAGCATCAACCATCGCATAGTCTCTGCATTCAGACAGTGTCTTCGGAGGCCCAAGACATCTCTAGCGTTGCTGAACTCGCGTTCAATCCCAACCTCTGCAGAAGGAATGGATAGGTAGTCGCGAGCGGCCTTGGCCATAAGTGGGAAGTTAAATGCGTTAGCCTTCCACCACTTCAGGACCCATTCTGCATCCGCATCACTGATCATATGGTGGGACTAGTCGACCAGCGGGGAATCCAAATACTTATCAATATCCGACAAAGAAGCTTCTTTGGGTGACTGGACTTTGCATAGAGTTCTCCACATTGTTTCCGACATGCCCGGCGGACGTGGATGGTCAACTTCACGCGAAACGGATGGCTCTGGGGGGTACTATATTTTTAAAAATTCCCGCACTTGAGAGACGATAAGCCCCGAATCCTGTTCGCTCATCAGAGACACAATCAAAGATGACTTGATGCGCGGATCCAGCACAGAAGCCACATAGTAAAGAAGGTTGTCGTCCATTTTTCTAGCAAACTTGTTCATCTTTCGTATCCCTCCTTCCACCGCATCGCGTGCCTCAATGTTCACGTCTTCAAGATCCCCCACCGCATTTCGAACGTCATTCAACAAGTCGTCCAGGCTCCAGTAAATCGGTAGACTTTCCAACAATTGTTGGGCAAGACTTCGAAACGGAGTTTGTGTGGTCCCAGAACGGCTTGAGAATCTTGGCTACTTGCTGAAGTGTCGACCATTCGTCGGCGGTAAGCTGAAGGGCCTGCACTTCTGGACGTATCCGAACAAATTGCCCGAGCTGAGTTTGAGGGCGTCCTGAATCATGACATAGGTCGAGTTCCATCGGGTATCGACGTCATAATTGACATTTTTGCCGCGTGACACTTGTTTCCAATCTTGGCGGCGCTGTGGGCTACGGGCAATCCATAGCGTCAGGAGCCGGATTGCCCCTTTTGTGCTGTGAAAGGTGTTGAATGCTGCACTAGAATGAATGGCCATGTCGTCCGGGTATTGCCTTTGCTTCTCGAGCTGTACCAGCCCTTAAAGAAGCTAACACGTCTCTGCAGATCAAATTGAGGATACGGGCAAGGCAAGGAATGAAGCTCTGTCGTCCGCGGAGCCGCATAAGAGGCCTAATGCGAAAGCGGTCATCGTCATTATCATACCTCTTGAGGAGCTGATCATGCAGGCTATCGCAGAGCGTCCCGTTATTGCCCGCATTGTCCCCTGTGAGGGTCAGGAGCCTTGGCGCGATGTCCAGTTCGTCAAGCATCCTCAACACAACTTCCGCTAGATTCTCTCCAGAATGCGGTCCATTAATTTCGGTGGACTCGAGAAGTTCATCTCGCTTTTCATACCTGGGGCAGATCCAATGACCAATGATACCCATGATCGCAATCTGACTTTCCGACATCCAGACGTCAAGGGACAAAGCGAGTGTCCGGCTGCTCCTCGCAAACTCCTCTTTCACGGAAGCCCGACTTGAATGGAATTCCTCTTTGATTCGGTTGAAGAGAGTATCAGCAATCTTGATGGGCAAAGTCACCCCCGTTGCTTCAATGAGTGCCCTGAAAGCCGGATGCTCCACCACTGTGAAAGGCTGTCTCGTTTGAATAACCCATCGGACAAGCATTTCTTCAACACCAGCCTTCTTTCTTGGGAACTTTAAGAACCGATCAAGGCTTCCTTCGACCGTGGGTAAGTAAATGGAGTCGGCCCCAGACTTGATACGATGCTTGGTCTGGAGATGCACCAACAAATTCGAAGTGGAACCATAGCGCGCTGAATCTCTGGAGGACCAGCTGCAATGCTTGCAAATCAGCAGTCGGTCTTTTTTTCGGTGGGCCACCCTGTCGATACCAAGCGTCATTCAGATCTGTGGTCCAAAAGTGCTCAATGGTCCAACTAGAGTATGACTTGGGTTTTCGTCTTTTATACGGGTGCGGAATACTCGTATTGCTCTCTGAAAGTGCAGGATCAAGCGGGGAGGGCGAGGATATGAGCAAACAGTGAAACCGCTTCGGCTGAGGCGTATCTTCCAGATCCCTAGATGGAGAGGGCTCAGGAGAGTAAGGGCATCCTGTTTCACAGGTGGATTCCTCAGATTGCGGTGAAGGCGAAGAAACCAGGCCATTGTGTAGTGCATTATAGTCCCGATGTGGAAGACCGCGCGTCCTCCGCATGGGCGGATTGGGTGTAGATGCCATGATACTATTTCCTGGTATCAGTATATCAAAGTGGTATCGACGGTGATGCATGGCATACCTTGAGCTATCTGGGCTGGGGTTAGAAATTGATAGGGGCTTGAGGAAACGATGGCTGCCGACATGCCCCTTCAAGTTCGCGGTTCGCGCTTTATATGTTCTTCTTGACGCAGAAAGTTGATAGGTCTCTTTTCTGTTTTCTGCAACGCGATATCGATGATTTTGAACGTAAACAAAATGCACCCAGGGCCATCTAAGGCTCTGGGTCGTGAGACAAACGCGTTTTCACGTGCCATTTCTCAGGACTACGTTATGGACGGAATTTGAAATAGATTGAACTAGAATCAGGGGAGTGAGTAAATACATTCTATTCTTTGCCCAAGCTGAGTCGCAACTAGGCTGTTGGATATATATAGTATCCACGGATCTTTGTGGTCGCTGTCAAGTTTCTATTCTATGGAGACACTTACAAACGATTATCATATCTCGAAATGATTAGCTACGGCCCATAATACCGAACAAAACCTACATGAGCAGTTTGTAACTTCCAACATACGTTCGCAACGGAGATTCACGGTCCAGCTTTGCTGATGAAGTGATGGCATTGTGAAATCGACCTTCGAGCGCAATTCGGTAATACGATAACCGCTGTATCGGACAAAGTATTAATGCGGAGAAATTTCGCGATATGAATAATATGAATGCGAATATGAATAAGGCGTTTATTTGCGCGAATAAAAATTCATATATTCATATTCGCACTCCGCGACTATGAATATTACGTATATTCGCATTCCTTTATTCCTTTCGGAGCCCTAATAACCTAATAAGCCCTGACAGGAAACGCGTTTGGGCCTCTAAGGCTAGGAAATGCTAATCGATAATTGGTTACCGATCTCCCGGGACAATCTATCAAACCTTGATTATCTAGATCGAAAGCACGGGAGGGAGGGGGGTGCCGTAAACTCGTGCATCCCATGCGGTTCCGGTGATTTACTATGACTTTCTATCGGACTGGTTATTCCGGGGTCTCAAATAAGGGGCATGCTTTTTCCAAGAGCTCTACCTTGAGGGCGAATGACTGATGACTTTCGATCCCCCTTGGTTCAAGCTGGAACCTATTCCGCCATACTTACCCAAAATCGAGGATCAGCTAGGCAAGAGTATCTTAGACTGGGAATCGTTGCGGAGGGCTCAAATTGAAGGATGCTGGGGATTAATGCTTGAGATTAATAAGTCGTGTAGCTGGTATTCGGCATTTCTCAGTTGGGCCATTGAAGACGCCCAATATAACCTTATTGCCTAATTCGGCTGCTTACAAATGGCAATCTCATTTCTAGCGGTAGGGTCCGCTCACACATCGCTCTAGCTATTGCTGAACATACTGATACAGATTCAGTCTGTTCCAATCCGGTACCCCACTCCGTACTTCGCCTGTAGCTAGTACGGCTCTGATTCACAGAGGCCCCTGGCTTACTGTAGACCATGTCCCACCAGCTGCGATCTGGGGAAATTCCGCTATTTATGCAGTACGACCAAGCTATAGCTGTAGTATCAGTAGCCAAGTTAAAATAGGAGACCTCTAATTCATGCCTGTTCTTTATAAATTCTCTGGACTGCCATCAGGTCAATCCAATTATCAAATTACACTCATTTACCACCTCAGTTTTTAATTACTGGCATTGGAATATTCGTCCTGCCATTCAAGAAAGGCTCTACCGATTCAGCCTTATAGAAACATGTCAGAATCTTCTGCAACCACAACTAAACCAGATAAAATTTGGACCGAGACATCTGTATTTTTCCAAGCCGCACCAGGAGGCCTGATATCTGAACCACCACCGCCATATTTCCAGTCTTAGTTCATGCCTGGTACCAGTTATAAAAATCTCAGACAGTACCTCCCATACATCTCCAGTAATCTTCCCCAAGGTTCTGGGAAGCACGCCATGGTAGGCGTGCATATCTATCTTCGAACTAGAAGCTGCAGAAGTATCACACTCTGATGGTTCTAGAGCTTCAATCAGCCTGTCCCTGTGCTAGAGTTTGCAGCTGATAACCCATACCATTTAGTCCCACAGCCAGTAAAAAGCATTCTTACTCCACCTCAGCTGGAAACCAGGTGTACTTACTGGCCTTCTACTAGTCTTAATAAATCCATGACAGCACCCAAGCCCATAAGGACAAGCTAATCCTGAAAAAAGATAATAATACAAATCACACAAAGTCAGAAACTCTGTGCCAGAAGACTGGACTTCAGAAGTCAAGTTACTTCCAAGCCCAGACAAGGAATAGCCAAGCCAAGTATACAGTAACAAGAAGTCAAAACCTATTCCTACCATTTCTATAAAGTAAACTGACCATGGGTATGCTGCCTATTCCAGTTAAAGATATATATGCCTGGGTACACCGCCCGGTTAAAACATGCCGCTAGGGGGCACGGCAACAGTATAAAAGAATTCCACGCTCACTTAATTTATTCATACTGTACCAGCTGGCGTACAGTGATCGAATAAAATACTGGCTCGGCCAGAATAATCATCAGACTATCCCCAGACTCAGTGGATACAGCTGGAAGATAGAAGCTCCTTATATTCAGAAGGAATACGAGACGCTCGCGGAGATGGAGAAACAGAACTATACCAGGGCGCATCCAGAATATCACTTTTCCCTGTCAAAGAAGCAAGAATAATCACAGACCGCAAAAGGCTGTTCTCAGGAGTTGGTATTACACTCGCAGGCGTTCTCTAACCTAGGCCAGGATTCACAGCCCACCGCTTGGGCACCTTTGGTGGATAATGATCGCGCTTGTGAACGCTCGACAAAAACCTTTCCTGCGGAAGAGGGAACCCTCATCCAGAGCTGTTGATTAAATCCGAATGGTTTCCCAACCTGCAGCCCCTGAAATCGAAGCTGCCAATGGTCTGTCTGCTTCACTGCCACTGTCTGTTCCGTATGAGATGTATAGTGTTTGTGGGGACTGAATAATCGAAGGCAGGTAGTTGGCTCGGACTGCAGGCCAGTAGATAGAAGATATGATTTCGGCGGCGTTTCCTATGATCCGTAATATCGCTATTCGTGTGCGATTTCCTCGGATGCGAGGGACTTGTAAATAGCCATATTCGCTTGTCTGTATCGTTCATGTATGAGAGAGAAAACAGTGTATGGTTAACGAGCAATACCTTCCTAGGCAACCTGGTAGGAGACCATGTCTGGGCCTAAGGTAATAGCGCCCATCTTCCGGCAGATGACTGATTCAGGTCGACCATTCCGAAAGGCATAGCCCAGGGGTTGCAAGAGCAGCAGATCTCCCGCGACAGACGGCTGAAGCTCCTGGGAGCCAACGATTTACTCTTGAGAGAAACACCGCACCCATGAGCCCTCCCAGTTGTCACAGGAAGCAGGAACTGGAAACCATATCCCGTCTTCTGGGGTTATATGGATATTCGTTCGCCACCAACACCACCAGTAAGGTGACTGAAGGGCACCACGCAATATATGGTTGTAGAAATCGGATCATGACTAGTAATAGATATTTCAGCACACGTAGGTTGATAGAAAATACTTACCTAAGCGGTAACCGGTCTTTCGAGGTTGCGAAGGTCGGAGATAAACCATCCTTTTCCTTCGGCATTACCCGCCTGAAGCAGTTCATTGTGCGAAGCTGGTTCCATTGGCGCTAGAGATACACTACGAACAAAACCACAGGGGTCAAGGTTAACAGATGCTGTTCTATGGGGTCGAATAAGGCATATAAATTTCTGGTCTCCCAATGTAAATACATCTATAATACTGACGTCGCACGGGGCTAGCCGCTCTCCATATAGCTAGGGAAAAATACAACTACATGAATCACTCGGACCATTACCCACTATGTCTTGCCAGAGCCCAACGCCACCGTTGATACCGATCCGCTTGCTCTTTTCTAAGGCTCTTCTGTTCTTCCGGAACCATTTCTATGCCTGATGGCCTACGAACGGAACCCCGTGGCTCCACCTCTTCGGAGCTACGGCACTGGGCACGCCTTCGAAAAGCGAGGGCATAGTCTGCCAGGGGTAAAACCGACCACCACCGACTCTAAGGCTCGCCTCGGATATTGACACGGTCGCCTATATCTAGTGGTGACTCCGCCTAAAATGCTCGGGCTACCGCAAAGACACATCCTTCACAGACCAGCTGTTTCTTCGCTATAGGCACTTTGGCTGGCATAGCCATGCTGGTCACCGAAGCAATGTTGGAGTGCGTGTACAGCTCCCCCTGCGATGAAAACAACTTTCTTACACTTTTCAGCGAACCTACAACGCCGGAGAACCACACACCGTCCGTGTCTTGATTAGAGGCCGAAATAGCAAAGATGGAGGCAAAGGACCGACACGATCTGCAGCAGTACAAGATTATTTCAGATGATCTTTCATTGCGTGGCAGGCAAATGACCGGGCTATCACCGGAGTATGTGAGCTGCCTTTCTCAAGGTAGGCATGCGTTGCTATTTAGTCATGTATCCTGACTCTGCAATTTACTAAACCAGCAATCCCACAGATTTCGCAAGACAACACCCGTTAAGACCGACTAGGACCTCAGACAGCAAAACACTGTATATTAACTTCATTACTAAGGCGTCAGATTTGGCTGCTTCCCTTCAGGAAGCTCGAAATGCCCGGAGCCTGCTGAGAAGAAGGGGGAAGCAATCAACCACAGAGTATCAACAGCTTACCCAACACATAGAGGATCTGTCAGCACTTTTACAATCTAGCTGGCGAAGGGGAGAGAAAGAGAGAAGACGGAGGTAACAATGGAATCCATACATCCCCTGGACCATAGCTTTTACATGGTCTCATACTTGTGGCAGAGGCATAGAAACAGGCCTCCTGAGTTGTGTCCGTAATCGTGATGGGGGACTGGAATCGAAGTTACCTGTGGATCTACAGTATGTACTCTAGCTAGTCCAATGTTTCATATTTGTATTAGCTCAGCAGATTAGTATCTAGAAATAATTGTAAGTGGTCTGTAAAAATACTGGTTCGCCTGCACACAGCTGGTTTAAGTCCAAGCGGTGCTTCTGTAGAACGGCATCTACAGCAGTCAACTTGATGATCTTCAACCATTTGTCAGCATGTTATATAGCATACACGAAACGAGCAAAAAGCCCATATCGCATGCTAAAAGGTTCATCAGGTTACTATACTGAGAAAGAAGCTGGCTGAAGCCATTTATTGCACTATAGATATTTCTGCAGCACCTCAAAATTCTTATGCCTGGCCGGACTGAAAGCGGGGATAATATCCACTGTCTTTCTTGGCGACTGTGCCTTTGAAGGTATCAAGCAAGACTAGAGGTTTGAGGTCAGTTTGGCAAATATTGTGCCGTCTACTAGCATCATCAGAGTTATCCTTTCAGCAGGTCGTCGATCTGGAACCTGCCCGTGATGGGTAGATGAGTAGTTGATAACCGCGGCAGAAAACTCTGCTTACGGTAATTTCCCAGCTGGTCTTTCATACCCCTTCATTTTGCGCAGCTGATTCCCCAGGGGATCGGCATAGTTTGACTCACGTTTCACCACACTTAGCCCGCTGTCCTAACTCAGCTTTTCAAGGGACAAGGAAAGAAATCCATACTGCTATCAGAGGCGGATTCTTCCAGCACAACAGTTCAAGACACTATAAATGGCATGTGGACGACAGCCAATTCTCCCATCTATCTAATTTTCTCTCGATGCCGAGTTCAGGGCCTTTTCATGCGAGAACTGTGTACACGTGCGATATAAATTATATAAGAGCATATGTTCAGACTCTGAACCTACTAAGTCTACACCTACTCATTGGAAGGCCCCACGGGACGCAGATCCAGAAGGTGTGTTGTCTGTGAAATTCATTATCACATACACACACCATTCCTGAAGGAGCCGAATAGTTGCTTGACATGGAGATGATCAACTTGCAGCGCAGCGACGAAGAGCTACCCTGTGTATATGAGACCGTGGCTGTTGACTGCTACCTGTTCTCTTGTTATAATGACTCTGAATTTCTGATCTGGAATGGGCCCAGTATTCTATCTCCGCTTATGTATTCCGAGGATATCTTTTGTTATGCCTCTGCTATTCTGTCCTACCGTGTTGATTGGTTAGAAATGCACTTTACGGTCGTCCACAAGTATATGTTTGAATGGGTTACTATCTTGCTATTCTTCTTTCCGCGCGTGGAGTGCACCCTCGGCAACCTCAGACAGTTTTGTAATCAGATTTGGGAAGTATTCCGTCTGTACATACGGACCATTGATCACGCAGATTATCAATTTCAAATGTTCATGTGGCTAAGGGGTGAGCGGGAGCCGAATATTACAGGAATATTAGGAATTTTATCAGGGTCAAATACTATTAATCTTGAAAGAATCCTGGATCCAGAGTATTTTGTTGAAAATATCTCTTGCGGCTTCTAGTATGAAGATCATACTGAGTTCATCTGTACCATGAGTTAAGAGATTGGAGGGCCGGATTTAGATAGCCTGTATTATTTTATAGACTCATTGTTTTCTTGCTAAATAATATTTTTTTGTATTACTTCCATGGACGAAGTCACCTGTCTCTTGACTATCTGACAACTCGTGTCAGGGAATCAAGCCCCAAATTTCTGTGATATGGGCAGGCAAGATAGCCCAACTGCACATAGTTTGGCTAGTCCCTGGTCGGTCATTGTTAAGTGCCACAAGTGTCAGTGAGGTTATAGTCAGTCCCTGGTCTGCTCATGCCTAGAACTATGGCCTCAATGTTATCTTCAACCTCGGGCTTGCATTGGGTTGACCATTTCGCACAGGGCTGGCGCGTGGTGTCGCCCTGCTTTCAAGTCATTATGAAGTCAATGAGACAGCCAATCTTTCTAAAGCATCATGTGTGTCCTAGGCAGGGGCCTGTTAGTTCGGGGGCACATACAGGGAAACTTTTACTGAAATCTCAATTCTCCTAGCGTCACTCATATTCTCAGTGAACAATCAAAACCCATGTTCATGACTGAACGAGCTTCGAAATTTAGTGGTATTGATAGGAAAGAAGCTGTATTTAGGTATCATACCAGATGTCTTACACTTCACGGAATTGTCTCCGCATGACGACAGAAGACCGGACTTCCAGGCTGCCTCAGACGAGAGTATATTAACCGAGAAAGACGATGAAAGTGAGAGAAACTGGACTTAGGACATCGACAGTCTGGCCACAATCGAGCGTCATGAGCATCCCAGTGACGAGGCTAGTAAAAGGGCTCACACGTCGCTACCTTGTGAGTAAGTCCCGTCCTATGATATCCTAAACCCGGTCAGCATTCATTCTTGAACTGTTTTGATCTGTATCTTCAAGTCTCAAAACTAGTGTCCGGTGAACTTATCTCCGTGGCTGCTACCAAGCGACCTTCTATGTGACTTCGAGCTGACGGGGAGCTATAGAAAGGTAGAAGAATAAGTAAAGTATTAAAACCAGGAAAATTACTGCCTGTATAAAAGAGTAAGCGGTATCTGTAAGAGTATTCTAATCTCTCTTATCTCACTAAATCTTATTCTTCATTTCAGTACAAGGCTCTGGAAGCGGAATGAACGTCGCCAGGCAAAGAAGAAGAGAACAGAATAATTCTCAGGCCAGGCCAGGAGGGGACCAATAGGACAGGGTCTGAGTTATATTATTTAAGACTAGTATTCTTTACCAAGCTTATCCAGTAGTAACCAATGTCTGTTCAACTCTGAGAGTCTATGAATAACTGTATTTAACAAATAATATTAGTACTGCCTGCTGCAGGATAACCTGGTCTGCCGATCCCAAGATAAAGAAATATATTATCTAAACTAAATTATATTCTCTAACTGCATCTGGTTCAGTGACACGGGGCTCCATCATGTCCGCAAGCCAAAGATGCAGAATATGATACCAAGATGCGTGTTGCGCCTTCTCCTGCTAGTAATAATTCTCGGTCTTTGAACCATCGAACCCATCCTTGAGTTTAGCTTTATTTTGTCTTAGTTGACAGGTATATTCTGATGTAATGCGGGAGCGGCGCTGCTTCGTGAGACGAAAAATTATTATGAAAGAGCTATATAGCCATGGTAGCAATATAGTAAAGATAATTAAATTAGAATTAGTCACCTATAATAAAGGCCTTTATATTAATACAGGAAAGGCAGAGTACTAACAATAGATAATAATACAGGGGTTTATGATCTTTGGCTGTAAAATTAAAAGTTTGCAATGTATGGATCTGACATTGCGCGGGATCCTCAATGGAGGACCTACTGAAATTGTTCTTATTCTCAGAGCACCTCCCCTTTATGCTTTACAACAGTCACATTAGACCGCTTCTATATTTCACTGGGTCATCGCCTTTTCTCTGGTCAGCACGCGTTTGTTACAACTTGGGAAAGCACACCGAACTGGATATGGGATAGAAAGTAAAAGAAAATGGACTGGATATTTAACTTTCTAGATTATATATAATGGTCCTGGATGACCTCCCTCGCCGCCCCCATGAGAACCCATTGGTGCCACCGGCAGGCTGGCACCGGCGGTAAATTCACATGCCTAGCAGAGGGATATAGATTTACTTAATTAAAATAGTCATAGCCTTGTACAGTACTGCTAGGTAATCCACAGCGGAAATAGATCCATACCTTCTAATGCAAACATGCTATGACAGGAGTCACCAAGAATCACTTCCGAAAGCACAAAGCTGATGCTGTCCCTGGCCTGCTGTTACTGTAGCATGAGAGTCCAAGGTACTGATAGAAAAACAGGGCCACATGCGAGTCAGACTACCGCCTTGCTGTAGACTGGCAAGCCGTTCTATCTGTAAGAGATGCGACCCTGAAATCCCGAGCAACTCTAAAAGCTGACTAGCCTAATTAGAATATTAGCTAAAGTTCTCCTCCTCGACAGGGAGGAGATTCAGAAGACGCCCGTCTTATTAGATAGACTATTCCAGAGACCTTTCAACAATTACCAAATATAATAGAGATCATGTTCGGGCTCAATAATATGAGAGAAAAGCAAACCTAGTTTAGAAAGAAAGTAATGCTCCTAATCTATCTATTTATTTAGCTTTTTTGAATCTGCACAATACCATTTATAATCTAACGGATAATTTACTGTTTTATATTAAATTATCTTGCCTGATTATGTCTTCACTTCTTCCACTCTCGGTTCGCTACGGAATTAGTCTTGAAACACAGCCAAATATACTTCTGTGTTAACATCAGGAAAAAGAGGCACAACCTCGCTGTTCACGATATCAGTGGAATAAAATCCATAATTCTACGCTCCTTCCCCGTTCCGGCGATGATCTCAGTATAATTTCCCCGGGACTAGGACTGTCTTACTAAAGGTTGATAGGCCGTCTGGCACAAGGTGTAATGTGCTCCGATTCAGCGTATGTCGGACACCTCTGGCAGATATTGGGATTGAAACCCGAATCGCGGGTTGCCTATCGTGAGTGACGAACTGAAGAGATCTTTGAGCCTTTCTGGAGATCCAGATTTGGGGGGGGGGTGGTATATGACTACTACTTGAGAGCAATGATGCTATTAGGAGTTTCTATAGAGATGCGGTTGCGAGACGTTTATAGTGATGTAAGCTTTGTATCAGTCCTCAACAAAAGCCCGGGATTGGACTGTATATCGTTGATGTTGAACGATGAACGGGATTTTGAGGATGAATTGCCGAATATTCTCCCCTCCGCAAGGAACGAAATGAGAAATCAGGAGGCATTGTAATTGGGATGGATATCATCAAACAAATTAAATCTAAATCCCATTGACTATTAGGGGCCATCCTCAAGATTATTCATATACGGAACGTATTTTGACATAGAACGTTTGACCATTTCAGTCTAGCGTGAATGGGTGGAATACCGTAGGATACCGTAACAACTTGGGTTTCTTACCTCATTGAGCTTGCGAATGTGGATTGGATTAGTCTATGCCATCTTCCAGTGAGCCTTCTACAAGTCTAGGATCTCCATAGACATCCTGAGATACGATTTTTGTACGCAGGTCACGCACGGCGAGCCTGTCGATAGATAGCTGGCTTTATTGGACCATTTTTTGCGATCATGGGCAATGGGAGGGGATCAATGCAACACTCATCGCTTCATGCTTCTTGCAAATGAGGCAATGGTGGGGCAGCATGCTGACCAAGCCGCTATCACAATCGTAGAATTGATGCGGTGAGGGGTGTATTATACTTTGACCAGCACCCGGCCGCATGTTAACCAGTGCTGGAAACTGGACCTGTCCCTGGCGGCATTTGCGAGGTATTTTCTGGGCAAGTGCGAGTCGATCAACGCTTAAACAGCAGTTCTGGAATCTGGCCAGGAAGTGAGAGACCAAGGCGGCTGGGCGAGCCTACGAGCCCCATCCAGTGTTTTCCTGATTATATTTGGATCTGATATCTGGTCGCCAACGTAAGGTCTAAACCCCCCTGGAAAAAAATTGTACCATTCTGGACTAGTAAGAAAGCGGGGTTACACCACCAGGGTACGGGAGTGAATAGCGTCCATCGGGCAAATGACTTTCGATGTTCTGAGTATATCTTATGTTATTGTGGTAGGCGGACAAGATTCCTAGTGGCCTTAGCTGATGCTGGGGGCTGGAGGGTCAGCCTGGCCGTAGCGCATCCCGCCAAGAAGACCGACATCCTGTATAAGCATGCTCCAACCCACACCTACTCCGTCTACATCTACCAAATGCAGGATCGACCTTGTATCCAGCCAGTCGGGAGATGAAGTACTGTCTGCTTGATAAAATTGTTACCTAATGATTATATTTATTGTAAAAAAGTAATTTCATGTTTTCTTATTCGATCTCCAGGCCTCCCAGCTCGCTAACAAACAATGAGAGCTTGAATAACATCTGTTGGGTAGTTAGACTAGTCTTTATTGGTGCCGAGATGTGCTCAAGTGATCTTTCAGATACATATGCACTGTTAGAGGCATGAGCACTATGATATTATATCATAGTCAAAGGAAGGTCTCATGGACACAATAATTATACTGTATGCACTCAGGTGACATTTCATTTATGACTGACAAAGATAGGCCAGTAGTGTAGTAGCTTGTGATAGATACTTCTGTCTATTGTCTCTCTAGAGATCCTTTCCAAGTATTGAGGACTGTCGGCTTCCTACTAAGATATCCTTGCTTTGTGTTATTAGGTTTTATCTGATCCTCCCGGGGCTATAATCGGTGTTTCAAAATCATACATTAACCTTTATCGGACAGTGACATTATCGGCCTTGGTACCGTAAAAGTTTCGTGGATACGGCGATGCTTTGGCCATGATCCGAGATATAAACTGAGTGGTCGCCCATGGCCATTAACCCAAGGAGACTATTGATAAGTGCAATACAAGAAGAGTAGATGTCTTCTAATCTATATAGATTATAAAACACTACGGCAGTGATAAATCAAGTGGCCGTGATCCTGCATCTAACTCTCTCGCGAGATCATGGCATGTTGATTTGCTGATCCAGTACTGGTTTGGTAACTATTCCCCATCTCGATAGCTGGCCCTACTGTGATAAAGCTTTGGAGGCAGACTACTACATAATAAAAAATTGAACTATGATAAAGACTATTTATTTACTCCGGCGTTTCCTCAATCAGAAGATATAATGATGAAGCAGTGGAACTGACAGCTAGAAGAGATAAAAGCACAGAAGGTCAAAGTTCAGATAGAGATGACGGCTAACACTACATAGATAAAGCAAGGACATAGACATAGAAAAGAAGAAGTCACAAGAATTAGAAATATGAAAAAAAATTAAGGTAGAAAAACAAAATAATATATATTAAGAGTGAAAGACCAGTAAGTCCTATTAAATCTCTTTATTATTTACCGTGCCTTTCTTTTAAATTGTATCAGCGTCATTATAGCCATTATAGTCTCACTGCTACTATCATCTATATTTCTGAATTATATCATTGGTCTCCGGTGGTGTACTTGGTTGCATCAAGCTAAATAATCCCGCACCGGAGCAGACATATATATCAGAGACACACTTTTCCTTTCTGCATATAGCCAAACATCTGACTTATAACTGTGAGGCTGCAATACGCCCCATCTTCAAATTTACACACAAGAATTCTTAGCACTGTAATATACAAAGGCATGTGCTTAATAGTTAACAACATCTCTGGACATTATACCGTCCCGTAAATCACCAGCAAACCTTACCAACAGATACAGCTTCTGACATTTAACATATTTTACAATATACACTTCCTGTCCAACCTACTGAGTATAATAAATACAAGAAAGGATCATCATCTGCTCCTGTTTTTATATATAAAGTTCTTGCCCCGCAGATTCTTAGACCTATCCAATACTAATACCAATACTACCAGCGCTTCAAGAACTCAGCTCACCTGCCCTGTTAAATTAACATGATCAGGAGCGGAAGAGCATGTTATGACTATTAAACTATTAATAAGCTCAGCAGAAAATTCCCTGCCAGAATCTGATAAGTCTCAGGAAGCATTCATATGGCCGCAAGATTTTTCTTATTCTTAATTTCTAAATCTCATTACCCCCACAAACATCAACCGCAAGCCGCCGTTGCAGTAGCAGTACGGGAGGAAGCACAAGGCAAGCATAGCCCTAGCAGGCTTAAACAACCAAAAGAAAAGGCACAGAATTATAGAGAAAAACTGATAAAAGAACCTCAGCCAGCTGCACTATAAGCTGGACAGCTATATTTATAATTTTTTCCTAGAATAAGCTGGTTAAAACCCTTCTAAGGGCCTACCAGAATCTAAGGAATAAATTATTCAGGCTGCCATCTTTCTTATTAATTACATAGTCTTGATTATCATATTCTTACTTCACCAAGAGAATAAGATACCATGCCAGCTGTCGGAGTATCTGACACCCCAGATCCGCTGCATGCAGCTGCAGCAGCTGGTGCTAAGTCTTCAGAAACAGAATCAGATTTCCCAGCAGCAGCTCAGGAGACTTCAGCAAGAAAATCAGACGTTGGTGGGGCATATAAAGGCGCTCGAGCTTCAGCTAATTAATATAGGCACATGTTACGGCCACCTAAGAGTAAACCTTTGACTTCTTAGTTGCCGAACCAATACGTGGTCATCGTCGCCCGGTTTCGCATACGGGCCACATTGAATACCTGTGTAACAGCGTCAATTCCTTAATCCCTTGCCATGAAGTGGTGGATGCGCCTCCACGATCCCAGAAGGGCTCTTGTTATGGCCTTTCTGGTCTCAATGTCTCAAGCAGCTGTTATGCAGCCGAAATCCCTTATCCTGTCAACTGTGTTTTCCGGTGCAGCAATAGCGTCAACTACCAACATCCAGATTGAGATATTCAAAATTTCCTTCAATGTGGTCTATGGACCGCCTGGTTGAGTCCAGGATGGATTTAATCTTTCTTGTGCTTCTCTTCTATGGATTAGTAAAAGATTTAATATTTATCAACGAAAAAGAAAAGAAAGGGAAAAGATGAGGCATTGACAAGTAATAGCTTAGTTTGGAGTTTTAATAATTTTGGTTTTGTTTTCATACTGACACGGCCATATTGCCTGATTTTTCTGGCCAGGGTCTAGAGAATCGTGAGCGCTACTAGTAGGGCTTCCCTTTTGTCTTATTCTCCTTAATATGTAGAGCATTAAGATCGGTCTCTATTTCCTTTAAGACCTGAGTCTCTTCCATGGTGTGACGCCTGGTGATGGTTGCAACTATCAAGTAAATTGACCTTGAAATATTCAGTAAAGAAGTACGCTCAGATTGGTTTTAGCTGGCTGCCGGCCAATTCAAGTATGAGCTAGTAGCTATGGTATAGAGTATTTAATCGCTTGGTAGTAGTTCTACTCAATCCTTAATGTACGCAGCTGATTAATGGTCCTTACTTACTGGTTAATTACAGATTATAATTGATTTTAAGAATTGATAGCGGCGGGCCGGTTTCGAAGCGGCCAACTGCACTCCGTCTCGTCGGGTTGCCTTGCTAAGAACAAATCCCTCTGCATCCTCCCAGCCACAGCATGTCCGCTCACGAGTCCTGCCCCTCAACTGCTCATTCCAATGCTGATATCGCTGGCTTCAACAAAAAAGATCTGGAAGGCGCCAAACCACTCGTTGAAGCCAATCCTCGGTTTATGCGACCAGGGTTACTGATCAATTGGGTTTGATCCTAGTATACTGGTTGTCTGATTTATTGACAACGCAATGGTGGACGCAATGGTGGAGGACGCACTTTTACGCGAAACTTGCTGAATATTCTGCTTTTCTTGTAATTGACGTTGTCTGATGTCCTCACTCCGGTCCAAACTGTTCATATGAATATCTCCAATCCCAGTTATTTACAATGTAGAGTAGGGCTTCTCAATTGCTGGATCACTCTTGAAGCAGAGCATACCATCTGGTATGATACTGGGCAGTTATTCGGCCAGAATCATTCTGCCGGATGTATGTACTTCTGAGTGAGCTCCAAGTTTTGAAACAATTGATACTTCATCATGTGTTGACCACGAGTGGCTCCGTACACGACCATTGGATCAGAAATCGGAGGGTTGAAGTCTAAATTTACTAAACCCTAAATTCACTGAAACCGGCTCATGCCTCAAGAGGGTAGCTCCTATTACTATACATTCGATGAGCTTCCCTCCACTGCATGATCGTTTAAAAATATGCTGGAGAAGCAGAGCTATTTAGTTTTGTTATTGGTTTGTCCCCTCCGTAGAGGTATTCCAAGCGTGGAAGTACTATAACGCTGTATAAGGGAAAACAGTTCCAATTTACTGTAGCGAGTCTTAACGTAAACTGAGCATAATAGAGTTTAGTCTCACTAGTACGAAAAATTCACATTTCTTTTCCGTCGTTTTTTTTTCCAGAGCCTGTGTTGGGACGATTTACGGACTAGCCCATATGAGGTACCAAGTTTCCCGGAAGCTGAATTTACTGTCACTTTGTATTAGCATAAACCTTCACCAGATGTCGCCTACTGTGGATCTGCTAGAGGAATGCGCGGGAGTTTAGATTTAGTCTTGCTTTACGTATCAGACTTATGATTGCGAGTCGGCAAATTTTTGTTATTTGTTCGTATAAAGAATTACCAACCCTGTTATTCCAGGTGATTTCCCGTCTTGATCCAGGACACGATTGGATAGAAACCCTATTCCTCAGATGAGAACGCTGACTATCTTCACATCCCATGTGTTATTAGTAAATTTATATATATATTAGAAGAAAGGGGAGGGGAGAGAAAAAAAGGCCCTATTAAAAGAAAAAGGAAAGAAACAAGGACACCAAGAAAGATGCAACATAAAAGCTAAGGAAAAACGCCGCCAGGGATGGGCCGTAGGGAGTCATGTCCTGCTGTGCCTCTCTACATCTGAGCTCATGTATGGGTTGTATAGTCCGCCAAGATACAATGGTTCATCGCTGCGGGAAAGGCGGCTAGCAGGATACAGAGACGCAGGTTGGGGGGAAAGCTGAGTGGAGAATGAATAAGAATTTGCTGGTCTGGCTATTGACATCATTTCATTTCTAGTCACCTAGTCAAATCCCCCGGGCGTCTATTTCCTACTCATGGGACCCATATCAGCCAATCGCCTCTCAAATGTCTTTTCACTCGATGGAAAGCAGACATGCCCACGAAATGTTTGCTTTCGTCGTTTTATAATCTCGGAGACTGTAAGATGACCTACCAGAATCCATTAGACCCTGTTCATTGCAGACAAAGTTGAGAATGCGAACGCCCTCGAATCGATGTTGTAAGCTGGGATAGCTTGCGGCAGACTTCGGCCGCCGGTATATCTTCTACACCATATGGTAAAGATATTATTACTAACTTAAGCTGATATCAATCTAAAAATATCTAAGGTACTGGTTTCTCCACCGAGTATTAACCACGCAGGGCCGATACACAATGCCATCAGAAATGATCAAACATCTTCAGGGACAACTCGGCCCCAACAAGCTGGAGATTTGGCGCATTTTTCAAATTCCGAGGTCTCACAGAGCCTCCTCCTATCAGACCAAGTTGACTTGGGCGAAATTGTGACTATGCATCCTTGTACATTTCCACAATTCATCCTGCCAGCCTCTATCGATACAGTGGTGCCATCCACATCCCCTCAATATTCCTTACCCGCGGCGATGGATGGCCAACAGTTTAACTTACTCGGGATCCGAAAATGCCGCAGTGGATATAATGGTGTCTTCAGACTTCCCTCAATACATTCTAGACTGATTTGCAAAACCACAGCCCTATATAATACCCATATCCTAGTCTGCATGGTCAAATAGCCTCATGTCAAACGCAAATACTCTTAGGCACACAGAGGTATAAACTGACGTATTATGTGGAAATTGGATGATTTGGAATGGCTAAAATGAAATAAAACGAGCCTGTGAGAATAATTCCCCTCTTAATGAGACAGGCTTCGATTCTGGCGTAAGACTCTGGCCGCCAACAATAGCGCCTTCTCCCGACACTGATTGAATAACTCCCTTTGGCTCGACCATCTTTACTATTCCCTTAATTTTCCACGCCTGCAGCCCGCAACCCTTCAACTGGGAAGGGAGTTGCTCGGCAACTTTTATCCAGATAGTGTCCAATCCCGGATCATCGCAAAAGTACGTGTTCTGGCCCGTTTGCTGCCAGTGCGCACTGAGCAGGAAATCAGCAAGTTGATCCATAGAGCACCAACCCAAATCGGAGATAATGGCAATGGTCAAAGTTTAAGGACCGACTCTAGGATCAAAGCTGATATCAGCGGGTATATTCTCAAGCCGTTTCGGGCTCGTCATGAAAAGATCACCTGCAGCCGATATGAGCTGATGCATAAGACAGTGAAGCCTAGTATTCTCAGAGCAGGCTTTACTTGCCAAAATAATGTAGGAAAGCAGTGAATTCCGTGACTAGTTAATCGCCTGAATCGACGGATGAAGCAGAAAGGCGCAAGAGAATTGCGCTGATATTCTGAAATTTCAGAAGGCAAGTAGCGGGGTCGGCACAGTGCCCTGGGATCCGATATTAGATTGAACAAGCAGCACTAATTCTGTTGTTAAATCACCGGATATCGATGTACCTGCTGATATTGTACCATGAAATATACTACAGAGGCAATTCTGGTAGGCAATGTCACAGCCCTCACGGGCCTAGATTACATCACTAGCTGTCGTTCTCATTCCCTGTCTTCGAGCCACGTAACTAAAAGCTTCGATCTAGAACGTAAGTAGCCTCAAACTCTCAACATTTGGGGTTCTAGCCACCTTATTAAAAAATGAATGAAAAAAAATTCATGATTTACGACTATAGACCTGTTGATAATTGCACGGAAAAACCTACATGTTTCGTTGACCCTCCGTGGTGAGCTAATGGTAGATGGATCGGCCGATATAAGGCCGATATAAGGAAGCGGGACATGAGGGGAATCACAGCTGTTTTGGGCATTGACGAGTTCAAGTGACGTTACGAATCAGTGATTACAGTACGTGTGGATACTCGACCCAACTGGGCCCAAGGTTCTGTGTGGCACTGGGTGAGCTGTAGAAAGGAATACTTGATGTTCATTGTAATAAGATATAATTATTAATACAGCATAGCAGGACACATCTAGCACGATGTCTTCGGAGAACCATCAAGGTCTGCTACTGAACACTCCCTGATTGTTTCCCAATATCTTTGTATAGCTTTGTGTGCTCGTCCTCGCGCTACCATGGCGCAGCCCAACATTCTCGCAGCCAATAGAGGCATAGTCCTAAGTTCAGGATCTTGAACGCTAAGGAGACGACTAATTACCTTGACGTCGCTTTTCTCGAATTTCTCGTCTTCGCTCGTTTCCCCATTTGATCCCGCAAGTATTGCAGAGTTCCCTTGCAGCCCTAGGACCGTTTCTCCACAGAGGAGTACTTTGATTTCTGCATCTTTCACACTGTTTGCCCTGCAGTGCATATTGGGTAGAGCTGCGGTGGTTATGAGCCAGGGTTTCTACTTTCGCCACCCTAGTAATAGACATAGAAACTACTTCCTTTGACGTCTCGTGCTTTCCTGTATTATATGTTAGGTGCTCCTCATCTGGGTTTTGCATGCTACCTACCATAAGATTGTGCTTTGGCATTTGTGCTCTCTTCGGGACAGAAGCGAACATCCTTGTTTGAGACTGAGCACTCTCGAGCAAGCTGTATCACTTTCTGTGTGGGTATGGGCCCTTAAGTACGGTGAGTATTCTCTAACGTGTTAACACCCCCTCCATAGTACTTACTTTGCCTCATCCGATTTTTAATGACTTCCAATCTGAACTTCTTCTCACTATTGATATCTATCACGTCCCGAAAGCTAATGGTACTCGATCGAATGTACTTTCCACTTTCAGTAATTGCGAGTAACACGTAGTCTGTGAATACACGACTGCCCTCTGTCCGCCGTCTCCTTTCGGGACTCTGCTTGGGATCCTCGCGACTAGTGTCTTGATGTGCTTTGCCTGTACAAAATAAATCTAAGCTGAATGTTTTATGGTAATACGGATAGCCTCAAAGCTACTGTACTCACTAGAGCATTCTTCAAGCTGCTTTTCCTCGATTTCACGGAGATAGAATATCCCTTCGAGTATTGTATAACTCTGATCATCAAGTGACACTGAGCGCATAGCATACTTCCAATGGATTATTCTAAGCCCTTGCTGGTATAACTCGCATAACAAGAAAAGCAATAACTTAATCGTGCCTTTGGGGGTGTTAGAGCTGGTAACGAATGCCGGGCAGTCGAACTAACCTTCTTTTTGAGGTATCGAGGACGTTGGTGAGACACATATAGTGGCTACCACCCCGGTCCTTTCCCTCCATACGGATATGTGGAAGCCTTAGTCGGCTCAATATACTCTATAATCGCCCAGGCTGTTGTTTCCAGTGACCAGAATCTAAGTTTCCTAAATTGCTCGCTATAGAATGTGCAATATTGGTTAGGTTGATCCATATCCGAGCTTGGGGTAGCGCTCAGCATAATTTTTCCAAGGTCGACTATACTCTGATCCAAAATCGTAGAAGTGTGTGTGCCAGGCGTGAGCAGAGGAAGGTGCAGATGCCGGATTGGTATAGTTGTATTGCTGTCTATTTCAGACATCTATGTGAGCCCTACCGCAAATCATAACCAGCATATCGTCACGTACAAGAGGGGCAGTTATGGTATGCCTCCTGTCTATCATGTATATCGAGCACATGCTCCACCATTCTTCCAAACCTCCACAAGTGGTCCGTTTTCAGCTGGTCAAGTATAAACCGTAGAGATTTGGCATCACTTCGAAGTAGGATTCCGACTAAGTGGCGGATTTGTGCTGAGAAACTGGTAGTGAGCTACGGAAACATAGTTGAGTTGTTGGGTCATAACACACTTTCGCGAACTAGGCGGCGTTCATGGTGAATATTGACCTTTGGATCATTAAGCCAAGCCTCCTGTATCATTTGAAAGATATTCAACGGTAATCTAGAGAAAATGTCTTCAGAATAATGGAAAACGGCATGACCATCGTTTGGTTGGATTTCTGTGCTTTTCGAGAGACGCTCGATGACTTTTGCCGGTTTGTCAGATCACAGCGATGCCGGGAGGACCAAAATTGATCATGCTTACTGTTAAAGCAGTTGCCCTGGTAATCACAGACCATGACTTCTGCCACAAATAGTCAACAGAATTCTGAATTTCTTTGCTGCCGAGAGAAAGGGAATCGTTGATCTGGGCCCTCTACCCAACACGCCATGCGAAATCTGCCAGGTACGCTCTCCGGTCTTATATGCAAGCGCCATTGGGTTAATCTCCTTGTCCTGCAGGACTGGAGGCAACGAAGCCAATCACATCGACTGATACGCAAGAGAATGGTACAGCAACCCTAGCACATGACATGGCAATAAACCTGCGGCGTGTTATACTATACGATGACGTAGAATTTGATTGGCTCAGAGCTCCTCAAGACTACACTCATTTTATTTTTTGACGTTCTGTTACTGTTCCACTTACTTCCCGTGCCTTCCAAGGGGCGTTATTAGCGGAATCAAAATATACGTGCAATCGGCATTATCAGTGCCACTAGACTTTGCCTTGTAGCACTCGGAGTAATTTGACTCTTCCATCAATGTGGAGGGTTGAAGTACCTATATTTAAACAGACTCGAATTGTGGTGCCGCAGATTGTCCAGTGCCATAGGTGTATAACAGGTTGACTGACTGCAAGGCTGCGACCATGAACGCGCGATCTTATCACCACTGCATGGTCGGTGTGGACATCCTTGCTGCGCGTCCTAGTCTATATAGTTATCAAAAGGAATAGGAAGAGTATGTGTCTATCTATGCCTGCTCCAAATCTCACTCGAGTCATGGTGAAAACCTTTCTCGCACGGATTGCCAGGCGTGGCCTAATAGCTTTGTCGCGGAAAGGGCTGAATTAACCACTAGGGCTTAATGAAGATGATCGATCCGTCGATTAAGGGGGTCCGGCCTCAGAACTCGGTTTATTCTTAGTGGAAAATGGCATACCAATAATGACAGGTATAATGAAATAGCGCGTGGGCAGGCTAAGCCTCTTTCAGCATAGGTTTTCTGCTCAGAAATCTCAGCCCAAGGCCGAAGTTCGATATTAACCTATCATATAACAGAGTAACTCGTATGGTATATGTATGTGAGAAGACTCCCCAAGCAGCCTACTCTGCCCAAGCTCGCACAAGATGTTGTTCCCCCCTAAAATGCCCAGGAGACTAGTAGACATTGAAATCGCGTAATGCTAGGAGCGAACTGATAGAAAAACATGGTGAACGGTACAGTGCTCAATTAAAAATGGATGGTTTACTCAGTAGGTCGTTACCCACTAGGCCCGACTCGCAGGAATACACAAAACTAGTTCCCGGTATTTAGTGCGTAGGTATCGGCTCGGATTTAGCGAGTATCCACGTGTTGTCTTTGAACATTAGATATACAGTATGGCACTATTTTGAAAAGAGAAGCCCAGAGTGGACACCGCAGCGTCATGACTGAGTCCTAACCAACACGGGCAAGAGTTTCTGTGTCTAATACACAGGGGTTTCTAAATGCGTCTTCCAAGTCACTCTGTAACCTTCTAGAAACCACCGATCGCATTGCAGAATATTACGAATTGCTGCGTATAGATGGCGGACGATCGAACTCAAATCCTTTAGGGAACCGTATGCGCTAGTCATATTTTGGGATAAGTATAATCCCCCCAAAGAGGGGATACTGCAAAGGAAAGTTGACTCCAACACAAACATGGCGCTTGTTCCACTGAGCAGGAGAACAGCACTCCAAAGATAGTTTGAAGTGCTTGCTGACTTGCTATTCCCAGTTGACAATGCATGTGAAGTTCGCCGTATGCCTGGGTTTGAGGCTAACCAGACCTCGAATCAGCTACTATCTCTCCCCATTCGTGTATCGATTGAAGTTTACTCTATGCTTTCATAGAACTATCATTGGAAAAGCGTGCTATTGGTCTACCAGTGGTAAGGAATTCCCCTTCACGTACAAGACGTAATCCAAAGGATTATACTATGCCCTGTTCCGACATTTGTCTCAGTCGGTTTGTCAGCTCCATCAGACGGCCCTGGAGTGCCGCCGAGTTTGATGAGACTCTTGCGCTAAAGTCAGTGAGCATAGCGTTGGTCAGGTTCTGGGATTGACTGGATATATCATCATTGCTAGAACCAAACTGTATAGATGGATTTCCACCCTTAAAATGGAGTTGCGGAAGCTGTTTCTGGAGGTGTGCAATGACTTGCGCAGCATGTGTACATATTGTCAGGCATTGCTCAGTGCTGTCCTTCTCCTCCCTTGTGTCTCGTAAGTTAAAAGTATCAGACTCTTGAACAGGACCCCCGTGCTGATCAAGCGATTGCAACCTTTCCTCAATGTCTTGTAGATGCTCTTGCAGATCAGACGTTGCTTCCTCGATCATGGTCTTATACTGGTCGATGACAGCGCTGGCAACAGTGGCTTGACGACTGAGTATATTGATTCAGAGTCAATGGTTCATAGTCACTGTAGGGCTCATATATCTTACAATGTGGCGCCCCCGAGAGCGATAGAGATAGTTGCTTTATAACCAGTAAGCGTTGTTTTCAGGTCATAAATAGTCCCACCCATGTACCGTAATTTAGCCCATTCACGAAAGCTTGTGCGTTGACCGTTAGATTGGGCCACACATTTTCACATAATATCCTTGAACTCGCTGCATATCTTCCCACATCGCAGAAGAGGTAACTTCAAGCTGGCCAGCTCGGCTTCATTGTCCCTTACTGCCGAGATTAAGGTGCCGAGGACCTGTGTTAAAGATTCCAGTTTATACCATAGCTCACGAACTGTTTGTTGCGTGTTTTTAAAGTCCTTGACTAGAGTATAGAGCGATTTGCTCTATTCAAAGGTAAGAGTTGCAAGCGCGATCAAGCTGGAAGCCACGGAGAGGGCATCTGCAATATTGATTTGTTTGGCCTAGAAGAGGGAATTGAAACTAACAGATAAGATAATTAAACAGATAAATTGTTGGAAGTTCTGCCATATGTCTGGGGAGTTGTTGTTCAATCTGGGAATAATCCGCTGGATCGTACGGAGTAGATTTAATCATCACCAGCGGGTCAAGCACGAGGCTCCCTGTGAATAAGCCTGGCGGCTACAGAAACGCTGCGATTAGGAGAGATAAAGTTCCGTATCAAATGTAATAACCGTCCGTTTCACGTCCCATTTGCGATCACAACAGAGACCGGAAGAACAAATATATTGTAACCGGACATCTAATGGGCGCATTAGCATTTCCTGCCATCCAGCGATGCACCTGCCTCGCAGACTATGCTAATATCGAAATAAATGGCGTGAGAAAGCTTACTCACCAACATGGTAGTCCCGTAGTATACCCCAGGGCCGTAATACCATGCCTGGTCACAAGACAAATGATCATCCCCATGGCCAAATTTCTTCGAACAATGACTGTAGCCTCGATGCATAATACTACAACCTGAGTTGCGTATGACAGAGCGGGTGCATAATCACCACCATCCTAGGGTATGGCTCTGGGCGGCACTCGGCAGAAAGGGGCATGTCAGATCCATGATCACCAGGATAACAGAGTGAATCACCTAATAGCAACCCAACTAAGGGTTCCACAGGCTGAGAAGCATCAATGATGGGGCGGGGGCGCCAAAAACTGCCCCTGCAAATGACATACCTGGATGGGCTACCATATGGCTAATGCGCGTTGTAGAGGGTTGAAGTGTTAAGTCTGTTTCGGAGCATAGGCGGAACCAGTTAAGACTACTCTACTTCACTTTCGATATATTGGACATGATTGGCTCGGGGCTTGTAAGTGTTCTTGGCGACGAGTAAACCGCACCACAAGAGAGTTGTTGGTTACAGTAATTCTGGACATTCTTTGCCACAGCCCCCCATAGTGGTTTTCCCGGTATGGAATGCATAATATGGCATAGTTATGCCATGAATGGTACGCGGCTTAACCCGGGTCACTACACCAAATTCCACAAAATGTTACCGTTTCATCCACATTCATACATGCCATCTTGTTAGCTTCAGCACGGCGGCTCATGCAAGGAGAGTCGTGTTGCCATTCGCGTGCGGGTGAATACACCGTACAGCATTTTGTTGGCTGGTGCATTTTGCTGAATGGTATCAAGAATGCAGTGCGACAAATACCATTCCCAGACTCGATGTACTACTCGGAGTGATGGCCAGAATTCTGGATTTTCATCATAATATATTATTCTGAACGTCCATGAATCTGTCCGCACATCCCGGGATGCAACAACCGGTTACATCATGACCAAGCACGCCAGGAAGACAAGCGAAGCTCTTGCAGATTCTTCATTGTTAGACAAGATCGACAAGCTCTTCGCCTGCAATGTCGGAGAGTACATCGACCTTCCTCAGCTCGTTGTTATTGGAGATCAATCCAGCGGGAAGAGCTCCGTACTAGAGGGGCTTACATCGTTTACATTTCCACGGGACAGTGGCCTTTGTACGAGGCACGCCACGCAGATCATCTTCCGCAGGACCAATGATGGCGAAAGGAGGATTACAGCATCTATCATTCCAGGACTGAATGAGCCTGAGGAGCGAGCAGCACAATTGAGAGAATGGGTTGCGGAAGATATACATAATCTTACACCAAATTCCCTTTCTGAGTTAATGGCGGATGTAAGCTGATTTGTCTTCACATGAGTCAACCATAAACTCACCCACGGTGCTAAATATAAGGTCCATGCCCTACTGGGGCTGTCTACAACCGAAGGTGATGGTCTACCGACGTTCTCGGACAGCGTCTTGAGATTGCAGATCTCCGGCCCCGATGAAGATCACCTAAGTGTTATCGATGTTCCGGGTATTTTTCGAAACACGACACCGGGGCTAACGACAAAAGAGGACAAGGAAATGGTCCGGGAGATGGTGGAATCTTACATGAAAAACCCTCGCTCTATCATGCTCACTGTTGTGCCTGCAAATGTTGATATCGCTACGCAGGAAATTATTGAAATGGCTCGCGAGCAGGATCCCCATGGCGAGAGAACGATTGGAGTCATCACCAAACCGGATCTAGTCGACAAAGGCGCCGAGTCTAAGGTCATTGATATTTTGGAGGGTAGAACTATGCCGATGAAATTGGGATGGATCCTTGTGCGAAATCTAGGCCAACGCGATCTCCAGGAAAAGGACAAATCCCGGAGTGTCTTAGAGGGAGACACCCTGAGGCAGCATCCATGGTGTACAGTGGGGTCGGACAAACTAGGCATTCGAACATTGCGGGCTCGTCTGCAGGAGACTGTGACGACAAATGCACGCAACGCATTTCCATTGGTAGCCTCGCCTTCCCCGCTGTCTCTTGTATTGTGTGGACCCCTGCTGATCTCCCTCTAGGTAAGATTGGAGATTGGGAAGAAGCTGAAAGACTGCCAAGACAAACTACACATCCTTGGGGCGGAGCGCACAACACCTGAACAGCAACGGAGTTACCTCGTCGATGTCATGTCATCATTCCAAACCATCGTGTCGCACGCGCTGAATTCGAACTACGGCGCAGATGATGCATTTGAAGATGATGAAATCTTAAGGTTGGCTACAAGGGTGGTGAACAGAAATGACATCTTTTCTAATGACGTTGCACAATGGGGACATCAGCATCATTTCGGATTAGGCGCCTCGGAAGAAGACCAGACGTCTTCTGACGGAGATCTCCTAACGAGAAAGGTCGACACTGTGGGAGACCTGGAGGGTATTGTCGATGAGCCTATCTCAGTAAGCTTCCCTCTCCGCGGGGGTATTCACTCATGGATAGAGGAGCTGTATAGGGCCTCGCGGGGGTTCGAAATCGGGACCTTCAACGGTACCCTTCTGTCGACGATGATGAAAAGCCAGTCAACAAAATGGGTGGCGCTCGCCAAGGGATATATAAGCGACATAATCATCATGGTTCATGAGTTTATCGTCCACGCATTGAACCGAGCTTGCCCTGATGCTCCATTGTGTCACAATGTTCAATTATTTCTAATGGACAGGCTGCTGGAAACGTACCAGAAAGGGATCGCCAAGGTTGACTTCTTGCTTTTTGTGGAGCGTACGGGAACGCCGACGACTCTGAATCATTATTTGAACGATACACTCGAGAAATGGTAGGTTATTGTCGCTTCCGCCCTCTCCTATCAGATCTAATTCTTCTCAGTCGCCAAAGACGCGCAGCTTCGGAAATAGAGGGAAAGGCATTTGACGACTGTTCTCATGGGAGGGTCGTACGTGTGGAAGACCTGCACTACCAGCGACATTTGAGCAATTTCGAGCACACTATTCAAGCCCTCCACGATATTCTTCAATCGTACTACAAAGTCGCCCGAAAGCGCTTTGTGGACAATATATGTATGCAAGCAGCAGGGTATCATCTGATAAGCGGCCCTGACACACTTATGAAATTATTCTCACCCTCTCTTGTGAGTGAGCTTTCCGTGGAACAATTGAAAGAGATTGCTGGCGAGGAACCGAGACAGCAAAGGATTCGGCAGCAGTTGGAAAAGGAAATCCGAGGTTTGCAAACTGCAAAGATGATTCTACGGTGACTTTACCTAAAAATTTGTTATCCATAAATTGCAGGATTTGTTTGCATGTTACTATTTTACTGAGTTTATCTGGAAGCACCTAATAATAAGAATCTGATCTTTTCTACATCCAAAGGATGTTACATTACGCCTGGCGTTGTGTTTTCTTCGAGTTGTGCAGGCCGTCATGGGCGGCATCGGTAAAGCTGACGCTGTCAGGAAGTGGGCGGACGCGGACTTTGCTCCGTGCATAGGTCCCAATTCCCTCCTCTACAGTCGACACACGAGCTCGAACCCCGACCCTAAACTGGTTTATGCAGGCAGCCTTTATACGAGCAACCATGCTGGCGCACGTCTGTTCCACTGAGTCTCCAGGTATACTGCCGAAAAGTCTCCAGAGAGTCTTGGATATTCAATCCCACGGCCCGAACCTTGATCTCACGTTCCTCTACTGAAATAACGCCACAGCCTCCTGATCCTCAATTTGGCCTGCGTCTCTAAGGTTTTTGAGTCTCGTGACGAGCTTCAATGGGGGAGCATCCTCTCATGCCAGCTCCCGCGATATCCGCGGACTCTGGAGTTGAGTTACATCTTTCTTCGTGAAAACGTCATGTCGCAGACGATCAATGTGGAATCTCCGTTCCGTTCCTCGAATGAATCCAGGGACTCATAGGTAGATTTGATTGTTACTATAACTTTCCAATTTAGTAAGAGAGTCTAGAGACGCAATAGGGAGTCCATCATTTTTCATACCATACTGCCTGAGTTATCACGTGTTAAACATACAAAAAGTTTGCCATCGCCCGAGCGATTTCACATGAGACTTGATGGGATTCGTTATCGCTCTAATATCTACATAGTAGTTGCGACCTGCGAGGGCGGTAAACTTAGATCACAGTCAATGCTCACCGTACTTAACTCTCTACAAGAACTTAAATTGAAGTTACTGCCGGTACCTTGTTTCGTCCGCAGACTCCATAGAAAGGGATACAGAGTAGGTAGGAGATTCTAACTCGTAGGGGGCCAAGCACTTCTTTTTCGCATGTCTGCACATCACCACCCGGGCATAGCTGAGATAAATCTGCCGGGGCCTTATAAAAACTTTGAATGATGCGATATAGCGAAACAGACGATATCAAGTACTTTCAGTCAAGAGCATAGAGATTCTTTTGCGAAGGCTTCATACCGGATAGAATAATACGGCCTTGACATTACATCTGTGTCAGTTGGCTTCCGTTTCATAGCAAACGATGAGCCTGAGCCCATCAAAGGAGTAATTGATGATCCTATGGTGGCCAGTACTTCTGTCAACTTGGTCTCGGGTGTATGCCTTTTCAAACTCATGACCAAAGCCCGCAACGGCTCCAAGTCTGATGTTTTTAACTGTCTCGGTCTCTGCACGACTAAAGACCGCCGTCTTGCCTGTGATTTCAAACTCGATGGTGAAAGGCTCAAGCCGATATTTTGATAGACTAGATTTATAAAGAATAGAAGCACGCGGATATTATTCCGATCTGTTACGAGATCAACGGCACCAATATCGAACGAAGGATGAGTTGTGTACAGAACGCGGAACAGAGGCTCCAGAGGACTTTCTGGGTGCCGAGCTGCATTTTGGGCTATATACATTTGCCCAGAATCTTTTGGTACGTTTCAGGTACCTTTCGGTGGAGGCCATAACAGTGGGCAGCCCGGGATGGCAATAGTAGGAGTCACAGACTCCATCCAGTTATAGGATAACAAGTGCTTGACATCTGTGATCGATGGTGCAGTTTCTTCGTGGCCCTCGAGATCCATGCGAGAGATACTCGCTATTCTGACAGAATTCATTGTCGAATGGATATAGAAACGCAAGAGTTATACATCAAGTATCAAGGCGGTGCAAGGAAACGGCGGTGCTCGTATGGTCAGACACCTAGCCTCCATAGGAGTTCTTTAAGAGGCTGCGAGGCTCGAACCTGGCGCGGCCAGCAAAGGTCGGTCATCTAGTGGCCTGCCACGTGTCAGGCCCCGCTCTCATGTGATAGCATCCCTTGCTAGTCCACACGATCCAGGCCTTTTAGACCAGCAGGCATCTGCGAGGTAGCCACATAATCGAGACGGTAGGTGTGACAGACATATCACCCCGCATGCGCTGACGAGAGCAAACGTCTTGTATTCAGTATTTTTATAGTCAAATCAATGTCATCTGCCTGAATTCAACCCAGCCTCTGCGGTTGTGGGCTTTCTGCACAACTGACAGGTTCACGGTATTCTGCGAAATTCGCCCAGGTTAATGTAAATGTGATTCAATGTTCTCGCCTACTGTGATGCCTGAGAAATCTTTGCGAGCACTTGCATAGCTTGGATGGCTGAAGTACGGTTTATTTGATGTCTTTATAGAACTTTTGTGGCCCCTGATGTAACTTGGGGTTAATGCAATCGGGCTTTCTGGAAGTATGTGTAAATTCTAAATCGTTCTCCTGGCAGGTCCGTCTTGATGCGAACGACGTCTGATTAGACAAATAGGCTTGTAGAGCTGGGATTAGGGAACTTAAACAAGCCCATCCTGGGCGGCACCACAATTAGCTAACGCAGACACTATTGCTGTCAACATCAAACGTTCATATATATATAACAGAATTTGCTCTCATGACAGGTAGCGCGATGATAGGTACACAGGAATCTGATCGCATACTTCCTTGCTTGCTCGAAAGGATATCTAGGCGCTCCTTTGCAGTAGTGGCAGCTGGACCGCAGCAAAGCTATATGTAAGCAAGATCAGCCATGAACATGCTTTCCGAACACATCTACCAGGTCGGCGATTAAGCTGGTATTTATGAAGTGGGGAGCCGCCACCAGACCCAACATGGAAGTCATGTGATCCTTTGTCCGCGGGGACTTGCTTCGTCCTCCGTGTTGTGTGCACAGATCACTGCAAGTATGATGTCTGCAAAGCTACCTCTTATCAACCTATCCGAACCTATCTCAAATGAAGTAGCCTGTGAGATAAGGGCAGCCTTTATCGATCTGGAGCTTTCCGCTTAGCAACACCCAAGACGACACAACACCATTACAACGCTGTCATCGAAAATGCAGGCTAAGCTCCCTTTCCTTTAATTTCATTTCTAACATCACCCTGTAGTCACAGCAATTCTTCAGAATGCCCACAGCGGCTAAAAGAGAGACAGCGGGATACTCTCCCTTTGCATCGGAGCGTGTTCGTGGCCGGACCGAGATCCCCAAGGCAAGCATCTACTTTTTCCGAACCGGGGCCGAGTTGGACAATCCCCAGGGGCCATGATCATATGGTTGACTTCTGTTTCCTTGGACAACATTTGGTTGAGGTTCTGAAGCATTGCTGATATTTCCATACCAAGTCTGGGGCGGTGTTAATTGACCCGTTGTTACGAGACTTTTTAATTTTGAATCTGAGTCTTATATTAGGCCCTGGAGGTTTTTGTTTGGCGCAATGTATCAGACCTGCCCAGACCTAGACTAGCTAGCCGCACGTTTCAGCGCCAGCAATCTAAGTATTGTCACCCTTGGGAGGTACTTCGTAGTAAACTGGAGGTATAGTTAACACCGGGATCTGCTCTTCTTCCTGACGAAGGAATCAGTTCTTCTTCTCAATACGCTGCTAGGATCTATACTGGGTGTCTCTTGAGGGTGAAAAGCCGGAGCGCGCAGACAAAGAAAAGCTGGATCCAATATTACGATCAACAATCTCGCAGGAGATTCGTGATCATCTTCCGATTGGTCGTATCTGGAGTATTCGGTAAATATGCATATGAACTAGAGACCATGGATCTCTAATAGTGTGACATATAAAGGAGCACCATAATATCGGCCAGTACGTCCTCGTCCAAAAGACAAAAACTAATTGTCTGGAAAGGATCACTCTGCTTGCCGCTCTCGACGCAGACTCAGGAATATAGAGGCCCACCTTGGTAGTGGGAAGTTGGGGCTCAGAAGCTCCATGCCGTACCTTGCCGTTGCGTTTGAATTTCAATCATCACCCAACTGCAACTGGGAGCCGTCAAAGAGGGCACGGAACGTCTCAGAAGATGAAGATTACCAGATCCTTGCCGATTACCGTGTGCTTGCCGAATACCATTACAAGCTAAGGGAGTTCGAGAGAACCGAGTTGAGAAAATTGGAAATACTTATATATGAAGATGCGGCAGAGCTGCTGCTGTGTGCACGGGGAAGCATGGTTGCTTTTATAGTGAAATGGATCTTCTTCAGCCAAATATTCGACATGGAAAACAAGTCAAACCTACGCTCTCCGAAATTAGGAGAGTGGAGCAGCTGGAGTAGGAGGCACAACAGAAGAAGCACAAAACATGGCAATACTCAGGCGTTATACTCCGAAGCTTTTACGGCCTTCCAGACCTGGACGGTGTACGCAAGCCCGAACTCGTTCAGGCCCAAGTAAACGCTGGAGTTTAGTACCTGCAAAGGCAACCACCTCAGACATTCTGTCGCCTAAAGTAGGAACTGATACAAATGATGCTTCCATCCCAACCCCCTCACTGTCTTGTTCCGTGTAGTTTCGATATCAGCTATTTCTAGTTCGTCGTTCTCATCATGAGACCGAAATAGAATTGTCAATATTCCACTATCCATATGAGGAGAATCGAAGTGAACCTTTTTGTAGGAAAGGTTTCTGGGAACCATAATAGTGTAGTCGAACAGTAGCTGAATGGACGAGCGTAGTTCCCGTTAGAGGGATGTTCGCATCCAGTACTTGGGACATAGCCTTCAGCAAATGTAGCCTTATAGGTACCCACTCCTTGAAAAGAAGGCTCAATCAGTACAAGAAACTGCTGGCCAGGGAAAATAGTACTACCTTATATAGAGATTGACTGAGCTATGGAGGTCGTAAGTAGTGACCTATTGGGATTCTGCCGGCAAAGCCGCTCGGGGAAGGCTTTCCGTGGCCTTCGTTAAATCTGTGCGAGGCAAGTGCCGAAAGGTAAATCAAGGTTGTTGTGCAAATGATTGCTGGCTCTGGTATGAGAACAGCTAGCCATTACTAGCAGTCATCAATGCTACAGTGATAAAGCTTGAAAACGCTATATTGACCTTGAAATTAAATTTGGCCTTGAATTGATTTCTGAGCTCAGCCTGTGACGCGAGTGGGATTTCACGACTGTAATATAGTGCTCGCAACGCCATAGGATTCTTCGTTATTGTCATGGGGAATACACGAAAGGGGCGCTGTGAATTGTCTGCATGCCCTATTCTTTGGATGGTCTACATCTTCAAGCTTTATCACAACACCAATGCAACTTGGCGCACATTTGGCGGCTCCGTGTCGTCAGCGTTTGAACTGGCTGTGACTACCAACCAAGTACCAAGCCTACCATATACCCGCCCCCTTTTAAGGTTGTCTTGGACCACAGCCAAGATTTTCAGTCTCCTTTTTCTTTATTTGGACATGATCGAGCGCGCTACGTAAGAAAGATACCGCCAGACCGATCGTCTGCTGAGTCAGCTATCCCGAGGGGGAGTCCACATCTTTAACCACTGCGACGCTTAGTGGTATTGGGGAACACAAAGAAAACAGTCGCAATGGACTCTTTGGCGCAAAGTCAAAAAATACATTTGGCAATATAAATGCCTACAACGTCGGTGACTGAAGGTGGTCAACTTTCCTCGGTTCCTGCCGGGTCTTGGCGATGCCATACATCACCGAGCCACGCTCCACGGTCTGATTTTCCAAGCCCGCTCGGAGACGGTCGGAAGCCCAAGATTTCCTCCTGCTTTCTCAGTGGGCTTTTGGACCTACGGGTCTTCCTGCCTTGCAGATACTCACATTCGGTGACTTTTCTCACGATGGCCGCTTCCACAACAAATTTTGGTCCAGCGGAGGAGGATCGGTGAGCAGCCTTACCCGAGAATTTCATTGGACGGGGAATACTCCAGTATAAGCTCATCGTTTTGCCTGAACGATAGCGACGATCGTTCTCTCTAGGACAGTCTGCCGTTGGATGGGACTCAGTTTCTGTCTGCATGTCCAGGCACAGGGTTGATGGAGTCCCCCTACGACTTTTAGCATGGTACCTTTGGGGTTCCTTGCATCTGGCATTATCAACTTCGAGCGCTGCAAGTGTGGCAATCTGCAGGAGAATGCGCTTCTGCATAATCGCCGCGGAAACAAACCTTTGGCAGTAGTTATCTGTTAGTTGTGCGCCGACAGCGCCATTGTGGGAGGCTAGGGGGCGCGGTCCTGCTTGCTTGATTTCTCACCACCTACTACCTGGGCTGGGAAGGTCACCAGTCAATGCTAATGCTCGGCTATACTTGGCTTTTAATTAGCAGTAGGCTCTCTTTTCCAAAACGCAGACATCAAGCTTTCCCTGTGGTCGGTCTATGACACGCATATCCAAAGAATCGTCGTACTGTAGCTAGACATTAGGCTCTGTGTTTAGTTAGCTTCCCTATGGTCTGCTCCTTGGCCTTTGCTTCGTGTAATATATATTTCGTGTCATAGCATCTCGGCGCATAGGACTCTGAGGACGATCAGGTCTTCAGTCTACAAGACACAAATCATTATTCAAGTGCAGTGTAATGTTGTATATCTAACTATATGACATAGTATAGATGGGTCACCCCAAGGCTAAGAAAGAAACAAGACAGAAGAGGCTGGTTTCACCAAGGATGCGCAACATATTAGCTAGAATATGTGCGGTGCTGACCTAGGTACACTCAACTGCTGGAGAGATCCGCATGTACTGTGGTTTTCCGCAACTACAAATCAGGCCACCTCGGAGACAAGTTCAATCAGGTCGCAAAACCCAGTCATCATATCCCCAATCCACTGACGCTGTGTATTGTTCATGAGCCCGGACTAGAGAACGTCCTACAGAGCGGGTGCGATGGCCAGGAGCATACTATCACGGGTCACCGTTATCTCCAGCCATGTTAATCGTCCCCGCACTACCTTTCGATAAACAGCAGTCACGGTGTCCCCAGCGCCGAAGTCTCCATAGTAATATACACTGAAATTTTGAATAGCTGACTGGTTTCGGAAGGCGGCGAAAGTCCTGTGGCAAAGCAAGTTGATCAACGACAAGTTCCCTGTGGCCAGCCAGTCTTGGAGTACGATTACTACCGCTTCGGCGGCGGATTCAGCCCCTGACAGAATTATCAGTGTATTCAGGAACTGGTCTTCCAGCAAGGTAGACATGTTAAGTTCCCGGTCTGTAATAGTCTCGGCCAGCGTGGCTAGATCTAGAATATCGGGCGAGGCGCAACATGGGCACTGCATCACGGAGGCTGAGGAGTTTAGTAAAGAGTCAGCATCATCTGACAGGAGACTGGAAGAAAGTCCCAGCAGCGGAGTGGGCTGCAGAAAAGATGTCGGGGAATGATGCACGATCGAGGAAGACATTCTCCTCTTCCCTCCAACAAAATAACTGCCGATATGTATTGTTCCGCGTCGTTTGCTTGGGAGGGATGCCAGAATAGAGTTCTTGAGAGCACTAGGGTACACAAGACTCGAATGATGTTCCAAGCGAGTGATGGAGAATATCATATACCAAGTCTGTTTATCCGCCAGTCATTCTGAATGGGTATTTTTGGTGTATCAACAATCAGAATACATAGCAGGAGAGAGATTTTGTTTGTGTTTACAGTTGCCATATCGTAACCACGGTATCAATATCGTACTGACATTGTGCCCCTGACCATTGACCAATGACATATGGTGTCATTTTTACCATTTAGATTTGCCCCGTAGAAGGATGGGTTTTTTCTGCGGTTCTGCAGATGAGCCTAGTCAATTCACTTCACCGCGCGACCGCATTATGGTGTACAGTATACGTAAAGGTCCCCTTGGAAACTTGAATTTCAGCTTACCCCACAAAGTCCTGAGACGTCCATGATGATCAATGCGTAAATAAGGGGTCCTATTAAACAGACCCTGTCTGGTATCAGCGACTTTGTGTGTGGTCGCGGCTCTGAAGGTCAACGCGATTGGTCTACTCCCATGTCAACCGCCAAACCAGACAGTTCGACATGAATAGCCCTACAGTGAAGATTGCATCTCTCATTCCCTAGCCGTGAGCTGCTACAATTCTCTACGATAATCGTTGACTACACAGCCAAAAGCTGTGTTGCCCCCACCATGCCGGACGCAGTGACACCCTGACGCGCTGGCGCCCTGACGCTGAGGGTGTTTAATGCACTCCCGCCTGGTTATTTTTCTGCTGACTTCTTCTTGAATGCCCCGGGGGTTTGCGACCGCCTGCTACCTTCGGACGTGCAGAAAGTGCCCTCGGAGGTAATATAGAGTTGGAAGTCATGAACGTTGAAGACTTGACATAGTACGTCTGATATGGAACTGTCTCAGATCCATTTGGAAAGAGTGGATTACAACATACAAACCAGCAGCAGTAAGCATACAGTGGCTGATCGTACGTACAATATATTGGAGTCGCGAAAAAGCCTACTAGGTAAAGCGCAAGCTAGCGGCCAAAAGCTGAAAGCTTGTTAAGGGAGTCATCGGTCATCTACACACTCAAATAGAGACTTAGCAGTTCGTGATAGCTTGTATTGTATTTCTTCCCTATAAAAGAAACAAATGCGTCATTCTCTGGGGCCAAAGAGACAACCCGCATTTGCAACGCCATCACTGCTTCTTACTGCAATCAAGCATGCGTGGGCCACCAATATCGAACTCTATAGGCCAAATAATGACCGCCAGGAGTTACAGACAGCAGCAACACATCTCGATAGCGAAGAGCAAACTGGAGCCAGCGGAAATGCTACTGCCAGCCACGCTACTGCCATGGCATGTGGACCGTGATTAGCCGAGGTTGGATGTTGAAGAAGAATGTTGATCCCCTTACCCAGTAGCTGGTATACAAAGGTCACCGATACTGATGCTCCTATACTCTATAGCGATGACACCTGAGCACTATTCAGCAAGCCTTTTACGAAGACGCTTAGGTAGCACCTGCCGATGAGGATATCATAACGGCCACTTTTCCCATTGGAGATTGGACGAGACCTATGACAATCGCAAAAGATGCGGCGATGAAACCAGTGATATAGGCACTGATGATCCATTGTGAAATGTGGTCGTACCATTTCAGAACAGGTTGGATCCAGTCTGACGTTACTGCATCTGCCGGACCTAGGCAAGTGCCTAAAATATCCATCGGGTCAAACGAGAAGTGAGCACTGGGCTTTAAGCAATTTGAGATGAATTTATGGTTTCCTCTTGCAGTAGCTCCAGAGGCCAATTGCATAGTAGGTCGGGAGGAGAAATTGTACATGACTGGGCTGGTCCACAACATGCTCGCTTATGTGGTCTACTGCATCGCCAACAGATTCCGTAAGGCTGTCCGAAAGATATCTTATTTGTAGAGAGGACGAAGGACTCTTTCTAATGGAAATGGCGAGCAATCGAAGCACATGTAGGTGTTCTGGATTCTGGATCGCAATTACGCTCACCTTCAGTTGTTGTAGGTTAGCCATGTACAGGCACGTCGAGCAGTTCCGTACCTTCAAACAGTACCCGCCGAAAGGTCCACGGCAAGACAAACTAAAGCGGCGGAGGATAAGGCCACGGGAATGACCTTCAGAAGGGATAGCATCGTAGATGAACAATAACGAATGCAGTGACTGCGCGGGAGTCACCGTAGCGATTGAGACCTTGTCCAGCGCAGAATCAGGCTAATGCGACAGAACGTGCCTTTGGCCTGAAGGAGTAGCAGCGCTTGTAAAATGTCAGGAGCACGGGTCTATATTTTGCACGGAACTTTTCTTTTTCTGTTTATTTTCTCCTATATTTCCATTTTCTTTCATTTTTGATAGGTTCATGGATTCCCATAGGCGCAGTCCACGGATTCTTCAGGGTATGAAGTATATATCCAAGCTTTTCATGGACAATTTGCCCCCATAATAGTCCTATCCTCTATTCTCGGCGGTACAACAGTTCGTTTGGCCTCAATGCACATTAACAAGTAATTGATGCTGTTGAGAAGTCGGTCCAGATGGTACGGATAGTGAGGGCAGAAACACTTAAGACGAACATCAACTTCTTGACCGGTCCTTCCAACATGGAAAGAATTCGATATGTACAGAGATATTGACTTTAATGGCTGACCTTGCTCTTTCCGTAGCTATGAAAATCAAATTTTCCCTGTGGTAGGTAACAAACAGTGCCTGCCTCATGTAAGTTCATTGCTAATCGACCTCAGAGTATCGCCGACTGCTATATGTCTGAGCTCTTTTTAACGAAAGCCGCATCATGGAGCATATTCGGATGTGACTTATGCTGTGTTCCTAATGCTTATCCGTCCGCATCTAAAGATCCAATTGCATACCACTATGGTAGTTGGATGGTTTAGCATTGTTGCCTTTTTACTAAGCAGTGGGCTACGGGCCGTTACGACGAATCAATCACAATGGACAGAGTCAGTTTCCAAATGAACAATAGTGGGTTTTAAACAGTAACTCTAATATTGCACATAGGGAACTATCGCAAGACAGCTCGGAAATCCGGATCTTGCTGTCCTTTGACTCTGCTGTATCGGTTTGGGCCAGCATGTCCGCCTGGACAATTACTGTCCACCATCCTAGTCACATCTAACACAGTACATGGCAAATGCCAAGCGTGCTGCCGGTGAAATCGAGCATAAAGTGCCCTGCATCAAAAGCATCAGTGGATAGACAAGGGACTGTAGACCTAAAGATGACTACTATTTTATCTTTGTCTGTCTATCCTGCTTTCTTCAATCGGGCAGTCTTCTCTAGCTCGCGGCCTAGTGGTCCCTCCACCGGTGGACACGATCATGATATTACTATATTCAGTGTCCTGTCAAGAGTGCCACGGCCTCTCCCAACCACAATCTTCAGGATAAAATAAGATCTTACTGTCTTGCAATTCATCTCGGCTAATCCGACGAGTAAAAGCAACTGGTTCCAAATATCTGAACAAGCTCCGCGAATACAGTGCTCTTAATAGAAAGCTTAAAGATGGGTCCCTCGACATAATCAAAAGGGCAGCTTGTACCTGATTTAGAGACGTCCATTCTAGACTTCTTTCAATATGTTACTTCGACATTCAAGGAATCAACATTGCGGTCTCCCATCATAGCCTGTCGGATGGTGATCCAAGAATGGTGGATGGCGTCAATCAAGATACTGCGGGAATAGCAACTGTACAACTTAACCCTCTTGGATGGGATAGCCCTGCCCAGTCTACCAGCACTTGGTTTAAGCATGAACTATTATACAACATCAGACACATTCACATGCAACGGTGTCTGAGACTTTGAAAGTAATATTAATCAGTTACCCACAACCTCTCCTCATTTGGCCGCTTAACACAAAGCCGTTGGGTATCTCCTTATCATTGACCAGAGTGCTGCTATATCACAGCGGCGAACAACCGGTGGGAACGAACGAGGAGAAAGACAATCACATTGACCTTGCCTATTCTGACTATTTGGACGGTCTATCTGACAGTTCCTCACTATATGATTAGTACTCCATCTCCCGGTAGAGGTGATTACAGACTCACGGGCTCTGATAATGCGCAGCCCAGTACGACGTTCGATTTATTAGGGTTTTTACGTCGGTAACCACGTGGAGTGAAGCAGGGTTCATGGACCATCTGACAGCATTGATGACCCTGAATGTGTCGAACGGAGCAAGTAGGACGCCAACATCTACGAATACGGCAACAACAACATCCCTTTACAGCGGCTCGGCGAATGATGGTCTTCGCCGCGCACGGACTATACCGCGCCGAAGCTTGGGCATGTCGGTCAGCACTACAGTTGGAGGCACTACGATATTCCTGTTGATCTTTGTCCTGCACCGGCCTATTTACCTATGGATTTGCAGACGACGTACGGGCGTGATTTGGGTCGGCCACGCATCGGCCGCAAGCAGAAGCCATTATACACAGCTGCCTTCACCTCACATGCAATATCCGGAATTGTCCCAGTTTTCTGATGATTCAGAAGCAGGCTCTACGGAAGCGCATATGGCATAAAGCAAATCTTGCAATACGTCCACTTGTGTTGAGCATATTTCCACGTGAATGAGGTCTGTATTGCCGTAAGAACAGTTCCAAGAGTACTGTAATAATCTCTTGAAGCACTTATAATATGGATGGTTTGATTGACCCAGAGACAAATGTACCCCCTAGCTGATTGAGGGATATAATTCTGTTTAACCTGCCAAAGTCTGCTGCTCATCATTGAATTATGACACTGTCTTGCTGATCTGCGTGAATTGTGGAATGTAAGTCCTAGTAGCCCATTGAGGAACATGCTGCGGTGGGCCCCATATCTCAACAGGTAGCTTGATGTGCCTGGTCAGAATAGTAAGATAGATTGCAGGCCTGGGGCAACGGCTGAGGATACAGACAAATGGCACCGCGATGGAACCATTACCACTGCAGCAGGCGGATGGGAGCGCACTGGTGCCGGTATGATTATCAAGCCAATGGCTATGATGATATTTCCCACCATAGTCTTCCGTCCCCTTCCTGTACGTTGCATGTCACCGGGTGATCCGGTTCCGACACGCCCTTCAAGCTCGTACTCCAAATCCCTCTTCTATGGTAGAACATTTTATCATCATCTTCAAAGCTCAGTGCTTTTTCTTGACAGTATATAATGGCGTCGCGAGGTAACCCTGGCTAGAATATCAGGTCTAAGAAACATATCGGGCAGTTACAGTTGTGAGAAAAAACAGTGCCAAGGGTTGCTTTGTATATGATGACGACCTAGCTGGAGCCTGATCATCCATCACCAAAGGTATTTTATAGAGTTTAGAGCAATCAATACTAAACACTCAGGAGGAAAGCCGCTGCAGACTCCTTTAATCCTCGATGATCCCGTGGGCACCATTATGCTGGGATGATTATGTTAGAATAATCAGGCATGCATGTGCCGCTTACTATAATAGCCCCCGCCTTGTCGCCATTCGCATTTGCTATATTTACAAAGTCTCCACACGCCCGGTCACCTTTTAATGCTACTTGGCTGTCAACATAGCTTGCTGCACGTCTGAGCCCTTCCTGGCAGCCCTCGACTGTCAAAGGTGCTGAATCCATACAGGAGGCTAATTTGTTGTTGGCAGTGAATTCCACTCCGCCAAAAAAGTCGCTCCCAACATATGGGTTGGCGCACCTTGAATTAAGCTTAGCCAGAGTCACCATGCTAGAGGAAACGACCCCACATACCCATCTTTAACAAGAGCCTCGCAGGCCGATTGGAGAGAGGGCGAGGAAATATCTGGATGACCACACCGCTCGGTGAAAGAACAATAGATCGTAGTCTTGAAGCTAGACTCAATCATGCTGCCCCAACCGACGTTCTCTGTAGTAGCTGTCTGGGTTGGAGAAGAGGTTGCCTTCGGTGTGGCACCGATGTCGTTGGTAGTGGTGGATGATGTAATATGGAATGTTGTGGATGGGGTAGCAGCTTTCCCTGCCTCCTTATCAGGGGTTTCTGTTGAGTGAGCATTTGCCTCTGCTACAGTAGCCAGCATGGCCAAAGCAGTTGAAGCCTTAGGATCCCGGGCCGTTTGAGAAGACGCGGATGTAGCATGTCCACTGAGTGATGAAATAGAGACAACCGAGTTCAGTAGCTTTGTAGTTGATGCTAACCTTCCGAGTGCGCTGGACACTGTAGATATAGCCGCTGGTTTGATTGGCTGAGAATCTGTCCCTTCCATGGTGGCTCTGAGCAGAGTCTTACTAGCCAGTGAATAGAGCGACCCCTATGCAAGTGTTAGCACATGAGTCCAGTATATATCCGTTACATCTGCCTACCAGGCCCACGCAGCAACTTGCTGAAATGACATTGTTGGCCAGGTCAGCAGCTGGTGGGGATGAAACGATCTCATGCTCCTGATATACATAGCTGATTAGCTCTCGACTGATTTGGGACAATGATTGGGTTTGCCAACAGTTGCTACCGCGGGGTGCCGCTCCCGGGAATGTGATGAACGATAGGCGCTCGCGTTCGATACTTCTGGAGTTGGTATTCCTATACCTGGACACACGATGTCCGTGAAAGTGAGAGTGGCAGTAGTATTAGTAGCCGCTGACAACGCTTGTTCCGTTGCAGTTCCTACGCGGCAGATCAGCTCGCAGTGACCAATGATGCCTCTTGCACAACATACTTGGGTCTTGGAGATATCCGTCCTTCACAAGTCCTTTGGCATCACGACTCTGATATTATTGGTCAGTGCCAACAGTAAAGTTCCCGCTAGTAGGGAAACGGGCATCGTCACTGTACCGAGACATTAGGATGTAAGGGCTGGAAGGCAATAGCGAGGCAAACATAAGAGAGAAGCAGAATCATTGTGACAGGAGAATATCGGTGATGGCATATACGAGAGTACCGCATAGAGTATCTGGGGCACCGCATTTGTACGTCGGGGTTGAGGCGATTCTGTTGTAATGCGAATAGGAAGCTTGATTCTTCTTATTTCAAAGGGATGCAAAGAAGATATATATACAGCATGAAGTCCAAATTGATTGGAAGTCAACTCGCATAGATGAGAATTATTTCCGCTTTGCGGTATCGTTCCTCCGCGGCAACAGCTTTATATCACAACAGTTTCTATTAAAACCGGAATGGCTTTGAACAGATACTTTCCCTATTTATGGTATCGTATGGAGCAAGACATTGAACAACATCACGTACATATGCTCAGAGTAAGCGGGCCTTTCAGTTCGGTATGGAATGCAAGCCGTTAATTTTCCCGACACAAGTTGTGGGCAGAATACAGGTCAATCATAGACAAATGTTCAATTAACAAAGAGAATGCCCTCCGCAACAAGCGGCCCATGTATATTTGCACACCTCGGAACTGTTGCGGGGCAAAATCGATGTACTCTAGGCGGTTTACTTGGGCAAAATCCCCACCTGAGGTTCAACAACCGGTCGAGACGGTTAGTAACCGGTCGATATAGTCTATGGCGTATAAGCGCAATTCACCAGGTCAAACTCCTGATCCCTGCCCCTAGAATCCCATTAGGTACGATCTCGTGAGATTAACTCTCTCTTGTATGTTTAACCCGCGTCCTCCGCGAATTTGTAGCATTTACCTGCATGAACTGACCTCGCTGGTGACCACCTGGACTCGGTTGTAATGGACCATCCCAATTGCGCAGCAAACAATCTTGTCGGTGTCAACACCATGGAGTCTGTCCTAACCAATCGGGTGGGTCTGGGTATCGCCCGACCGGGCATTTTGTACCTGCGGGGTTGGGGTCCGTTGTGAGTTGGCCAGTGTTCTGGCTGGCCAAACCGCTATCAGAATTGACCGGTGCATCATGTAGGGACTATCTCCTAGAAACATCAGATATTATGGTTGAGAATACCCTGTCGGGGCAAGGGATTTGTGATATAGGATTTAGGGGTTAGGATGAAGCACGCAACGACAACAGGTTTGTGTGGTCAATCAATATTGCCCAGCTTGAGCAAGGCCTCTAGTACTATGTGCAAGACAGAGAATGCTCCGAACGGTATTTGCAGCATGGGAATTTGGTGTCTCGTTGAAGGCAGTAGAAGGAAAGGGTGAGAATAGTGTCCAGCATCTGATAGGAAAGGTTCCCACAGTATGACCAGTGCTTGCTTCAATGGGCTGGAGATCCCATGTGTGGTTCTGAGGGATATGATAGTCCACCATCGACAACTGGGATGTATTAACCACCAGTGTTGTATCTCTGCCCCCATGCTAGTTGTAGCATATGAATGAGCGATACTCGGTCTTGTAGGCTGACGATGGGATTCAATTTTTATCCACTTTGAGCTGGTCCAGGCTGACCGCATTTGCCCGGGTGGTGAGGATGAGGGTCAATTATTATTGAGGGTACCATGTATCAGAGCCCTAACATAACATTTCACTGTGCCTCTCAGACTACTCACCCTTGACTCAGTCCTACCCAGTGATCAAATCAGATTAGTCACTGAGCGCTCAGTCTGTGCAGCAGAGCACAGTCATGTGCCATGATCTTCCGTGACGCAGGGCAGGGCTTCGTCCCGTAAATTCCCGGAGGAGTGCGTGCCCTTATCCTTCAATCTGGGATATTGCTACGCGGATGGCACTTTATACCGCGATTCATGCATGTCCCTGGTTCGCCAGAAGAACCAGATACTTTTAGTCGCTGCACGAGCATTCTCGGCGAACATACTCCACCGAGCAGGAACTGAAACACCTATCAACACCCAAGCCCCAGCAACGAAACAATGAGCCTGGAATTCAGGTGTGAATGGGTCGTGCATAGCAGGCATGGTTCACTATACCAGAAGGGGGCAAATGCTTTTGTATTTACATCTCTTACAGACAACAGGCATTGGATGAGTACCTAGATAGCTGATGAGGGCCGAGGAAGAACAGGAGCAACCGGATAAAGAAATAGAACGCAAACCCGCCGGGTCTCATGGAGACATGCCTCTAATTCGCATTGGCAGCCATCCAGGACAACTCCAGTCGCCCCCGTATTCATAATCTTTTCCAAAATCTGATAGCCGGGCCAGTAGGCACCAGTATCACCAGGTTACATTGAGATGATTTTTTTTTTAGCTTTTGAGCGACAGGGGAAACAATCAGTCCATTTTTAATTGAATCCTGCCGATTCTTCACCAGTAGAAAGAGTCGCACGGAAGGTTTCATGAAAGAAATACTCGCCCTTTGAATAAAATCTATTCAAAGAAAAAAAAAGAAAAGGAAAGAAAAAGGCCTTGAAAGCATCAGCCCCGCACAGTGTTATTGCACAGTCACTGTTGACAGCAGCAATGCCATAACCTTGATCTCTGAGCATGAGGAGCAGAGGCTTGTATCTAAAGGCCGACTCAACAAGAACAGGCGGCTTTTATTCTTGGTCTCTAGAGCCACGGGTCGAGCAGAAGCCGAGAATATGTCTCCCAATAAGCGTCATCTTTCTATGTTGCTGGGGAGAATTTAAGAGCGTAATAAATATTCGTTTAGGCACATGTGACTACCTATGACGGTTGAATCTCTATGGACTGCATTGCTTCCAGAAAGCGTCTCCAAGCAGCTGGCACTAGAAGCAGGCAACGGTACTGCCCGACCTGATTGGCCATTCTAGGCCCAAGGTAATCGTCGTATGAGTGTTCTGTAGTAAAACATGATTGCTAAGGGCACTAGCAAGGAGCCCTTCAATCTGGACTCCAAGATCGCTGAGCCGCGGGCCGCAAGGCCGCGGAACGGAACACCAGACATGTACCACCAAAGGCCTCGATGAGGCTCCAAATCTGCCGAAAATCAATGGTGTACCGTAAGACGTATATAAGAATTGGGTAGCGGTCTCGCCAAGGCGAGGGGCCAGTATGAATTCACCACCAACACCGCTGTATATTAAGAATGTCTCTTCTGGAGCTCAATACAGCATATGTAGTAAGAGATAGACTATAACTCAGAATTAAGGGGAAACAAACATCCAAAAAATGCAGACGAGAATCCCAATATATAATACAGTGAGCAGGACGGCCGCTGTTTTGGGAAGTCTCTGCATATCATGATCTACTTCTTAATCTCTTAGCCTGACGCAGCGGAGGACTCGCGACGTGGCGGTGGCAGTAGCATTGCAAATTTTCAGCGGCGTGAGTCGATGAACCGACAGAGTAGGCGGGAATCTCGCTGCTGTTCTGGCTTCTTGGTCTCAGTTTATTCTCCAGGCTCTAACGGAATAGACTATCGTAGGAAGGCAGCCAGCACCTTTCGAGAAGATGATGGAGTTCTATATTGACATCGTATACATGCAACTTCACCGCATGGGCGAGGAACGCAGTCATTTCAGCAAACCTGGGAGCATCACGGCAAGTTGCTCAATTGCAGCTGATGCCCTCGTGCACAAGGGCGAGATGAGAATCAATTAAATAGCTCAAGGGAGTCCATTCTCTGTGGCGGAAAATGATGTGTTGCCCGTTGAGGGAAAAATCGGAAAGGTCACGATGAAGTGACTTCAAACACTGTTCTCTGAATGTGTCAACAAGATATCGTCTCACAAAAAGGTTTATCTTGCGTGGGCAAGAAGGTTCGGATTAAGGGAAGTTGTAGCCTCATCTCCGGCAAAAGGAAGACCTCTGAATTGACTCCACCGCGGTTCATACGGAGTTCGAACATAGAATAAATTCCCTAATTCAATCTCCAGTGGGGTAGACGAACTATACTTCTTTCTCTGTGCCTTTTCGGTAGATTGATCCCACTTATAGAGGGTGTTGCGGCTCTCTGGTTCTGGTTCTAATGCTTCCAGGTCCGGCTCCGGTTCCGGCTCTGATCCAGGCCCCTAGTCTTGTGTTGCGGATATCTCTCAATTAGTCTCGCTCCATTTAAGTTGAAGCTTACCTAATTTTCTTGTGGCACTTTCCGGTCTACTCACCATCTATACCAGAGTGGTTGTTAATTCCGTTACCTTTCCGGTAGGGCGTAGTATAACTTCCCTTGTAACCAAACTCACAAAAAGCGATGAAGGTCTCCTTCTCAACGTCATCTATCGCATCAACAGTATACTGCCATGTTGTGGTCAAGAGCTTTATTCTTAAATTGCTAAAGTCTGTGCAAGTTTCACGAAGTCGAATTCATCTATTTGAGCGAATCAAACTAGGGTCTAAGTCTGATTCCATGGACGGTGTGGGTGTGGTTCTTGAAATTGGACACGCTAGATGGCACAAAGTCAATATTCTTCAGCCTACATAGTCCGCATTTGCGAAATCCCGAGTCAAATGCTGCAAGCTCTTGCTCATGAATCCTTTCCACGTGGTCCCAGAGCTTGTTTGTTTTGCTCTTTCGCTTCGTGCGGTCAGCAGGTGAGAGGCGCGTGTCCGAAAGGCAGAATGGACATTGCAGTGGGTCGAAATTTTCGACGACACAGGCAGATGAAGGGTTCGCTGCCTGGGGCTTTGGTATGGTCACTGACTGCTTACCCCGCCGAGGGCTCTCCTTCCGGTCTTGCCATCGGACCATAAGGCGGATGTACCTTAACCGTCGAAGATGAGCTTCTTCGTCTGTTTTGGTAGGAGTTGAATAGCAGAGCAGATCAACGAGCTCCTTGCGCTCGAGGATTTGGTAGGTCCGGGCCACATGAGGCTGTAGTTTAGCCTCAGGAGAGGTCCGATCGAGCTCGTACTGTTGGTTGAAAATAGCCGTGTCTGTCTTCCTAAAGTGCCTTCGGCGATTCCTCTCCTTCTCCTCCTCTCGGAGCCTCGTAAGTGTACTGTTGAGCTCGGCATCTGCACGTTTCTTCCGCTCACCAATCTCGGTGCCTGCGGCATCCTTCACACGTTTATAGCCCTGGCTGCGAATTTCCGCAGTCAATGCGCGACAGACTCTT